GCTCAGGAGACCTACTGCGAGTGAAGCACTTGGAGGTGGAGTTTCATCTCCGGAGGTGGAGACCAGACCTGGCGGACGGCGTCGGCTTGGTCATGCTGGCGCACCGGGACCGTCTCGAGGTGACGAGGGCCAACGCCGAACGTTTTCTGGCGGTGCTGAACGCGCTGAAGGCAGCTGGTTTCGTGCTGAAAACTTCCCGTCCTGTCGTAGCGTGCCATGAGTATGACGGTGGGTGCTTGCCCTACATATTCGAGACGTCGTGGTGGAACACTGTTGTGCATGATGGTTTTTAACATCTGAAGACCAGAGATATCGCAGTGTTTCAATATTCGGTCGCTTTGGCGGAGGGGTACGGCGTTGTGTCAAAAGGTACATGTTTAGCAGTCAACAAACTGCTGTCCACGCGGAAGACGCTAGGTAGCATGATATCTGGTAGTATGCATTTATTCAAATACATTCTGCCCAGTGCCCACCCAACCTGATGAACTTTGGAATGCTGGGTTGTCTAGGCTGGCAGCCATCCGCTGCTTTTTCGCGCACTGAAATGTGCCAGTTGAGGCGATATTAGCCAGTAAGAGTAATTCCTCAACTAGGCTTTCGTTCAGTAAAATCGCTATTACTACAGCTCACCGCATGGAAATGATAGTTGGTGCTGCCTTAAGATCCATGCGTCAACTGTTAAACGTGAATTGAGCTCTTCGATAGCGAAGGTGAGAGACATTTGCTACCTTTCCAATAGCGTACTGAACGACTGAGGTACCTGCCAGCAATGACGGCACGGTGATGGTCCGTCCGATTTTGAGCATGCCGGCAAACCACCACAGCGCAAGAGCCGCCCTGGTGTGGGCATGCCGGATGTTGGGACCCATCTGGCGCACCTTTCTGGCGGTGCTAACCCTCGGGACACACCTTGCTAGCGGTGCTAACCCTCGGGACACACCTTGCTGGCGGTGCTAACCCTCGGGACACACCTTGCTGGCGGTGCTAACCCTCGGGACACACCTTGCTGGCGGTGCTAACCCTCGGGACACACCTTGCTAGCGGTGCTAATCCTCGGGACACACCTTGCTAGCGGTGCAAACCCTCGGGACACACCTTGCTGGCGGTGCTAACCCTCGGGACACACCTTGCTGGCGGTGCTAACCCTCGGGACACACCTTGCTGGCGGTGCTAACCCTCGGGACACACCTTGCTGGCGGTGCTAACCCTCGGGACACACCTTGCTGGCGGTGCTAACTCTGGGGACACACCTTGCTGGCGGTGCTAACTCTGGGGACACACATTGCTGGCGGTGCTAACTCTGGGGACACACCTTGCTGGCGGTGCTAACCCTGGGGACACACCTTGCTAGCGGTGCTAACCGTAGGGACACACCTTGCTGGCGGTGCTAACCGTAGGGACACACCTTGCTGGCGGTGCTAACCTTGGGGGTACACCTTGCTGGCGATGCTTACCCTAGAGTTTGGGGATCGAGCTTGAGATCTGTTCCAATCCCGACTTCAATCCCCCACTCTCGGCCTATACGAAGGCGAGTTTCCGGCGTTTCTTGCGTGGGTGATGAGTTGGGCCATTCGTAGAGTGCTACCTCCAAAACGTCTAGTTTAAACACAGGCAGAGTTCACCTTCAAGTGCTCAGGAACCGATACACCGATCTCTGACATTCCGCAGCCATCCCCAGCCAGCCAGGCGGCAACGTCTGCGTCAGTGGCAGAGAAACAAGCTGGCCGAGCATGGCCAGATCGAGAGTGCACTCTCGATCTCGTCTCGATCTCGAGAGTACACTCTCGATCTCGATCCGATCATTGGCTCTCCGATATTTGGGAAGCGCTCGACACACATGATGGGCATACTGGAACCGACGGGCTCTGGGACTTTTGTCCCATTGTCTGGTTTTTGGTTAAAAGTCAACATGAGCTATAGATACAGACAGCAAACAAGCGAAAATGGTGAAATGTTGATTGATTTAGAAAACTTGCTTAATAAGTATTCCGTCCTCGCGTGTTTCCTTTCCACATGCCTCGGAAAACACACGAAGAAGAAAATAGCACCACTGAATGCACACTTTGATGTATTGTAAAGGGCGGCATGCATTGGCACAAACTTGAGGAGAGCACGGTATTTTTGCGTGCCCTGGGTTAATCAGGCCCAGGCTAATGTTCCCCTGACCGACTCGAGGCCCCTTGTTGACGCAGAGCACCCTGCTAGGCACTGGGCCCTGACCGACGCAGAATTGTTGCAGGGGGCCCCGACCAATGCAAATCGCGGGCCCAGTTTTTTCCCTGCTTGGAAATTAGGCCGCAATATCTCAAATCGCACGGAGCCGACTGTTCGGTGTTGGTGATTTTTGGCCGAAATAGAGGATCGATCTGTCTGAGGGATCCCTGATCGGCACAAGAGGCCCTCTAACTGACATTTGAGATCACGGCTCTACGGACGAGGGTCCTTAGTGTGACCTACAGCCAGCCCTTCAGGCCCTTCAGTTTTCTAACCGGGTCCTCGATCTCCGGTCGCGAGGGGCGCTTCGTCTCCTCTTCGAACCTCCTCAAACAAAACTCGTGACCTACTCGGGGCCGTAAACCAAAACATAGTCTTCTGTTAGGCACTGTGGACCCATGTTCGACACAGAGGCCCCAACCATTGTTTTAGGAACACATATCACTGCAAGTCGAGGCCCAGCTTTGCTCCTGCTTGGAAAATGCCCCCCCCCCCCCCCCAGGGTTCATACTGACAGGAAGCCAACTTTCGATGTTCGTGGTCTCTGGCTGACCAAGACATCCACATTGTCTCGGGGGAGTCCTCAAAGGATGTAACAGGACTTCTGACTGATATTCTCAAGTCACGACACTATTCCTTATTCTTTATGCGACCTACAGCCAGTTCTGTTGAGCCACCTGGACCCTGTTCAAGCTCATTGAGCACTGCCCTTGGCCGGCTCGGGGTCCCTTGCGAACACAGGACGCTCTGTGCGGCACTGCTGGCCCCTGGCCGATGCATGCCGCCGAACAGTGTAAGTTACTGGCCAGGCTTTGCAGCTGATTGGGAAATGGGCCCTCAGGCCCATACCGACACGGAGCGGATTGTGTGGCGGTGGTGGTGTCTAGCGGCGGATCGAGCCTGGAGTTTGGGGGGGGGGGGGGGGGCAACCGTTCGTCGCCAGCTGGCTGGTGTGGGATCCGAGGTCCAGTGCATGGTGCATTTCGCGAGTACCTAGTAGGGACACCATTTAAAACCGAAAAAAGCACCGAAATGCTTTTGAATCTTAAACAGAAGTTAAAACAAAGCAGTTAAAACAGTGAAAGTTACACAGACGGTAAGTAGACGAAACTTTTATGAAGTACTGGGAATGTTTTTTTTTGGGGGGGGGCAAAACATACTCTCAGAGGTTTTGATAGGGGTCATGGCCTCGTGCCCCCTCCCCCCCCGCCCCAGGATCCGCCTATGGTGGTGTCTGACCGACATATAGACCCATATCGACTCAAGGTGTCATTGACCGGCGCAAAGGGCCCTCTGGCTGTCATTTTAGTGTGTGTCCGGCAGGCCGGGGCCACTGAATAAGATTCCAGTCAGTCATTCGTGCCCTTGAACCTCCAATCGAGCCCTTGATCTTCGGACCCGATGGGGCTCTCCAGACTCTTCAGGCTTCCTTGAACAGTGCCTCGGGCTGACTTGGGGCCCCTTGTCAGTACGGGGGGGGGACCTCGTTCGGCGCTATGGGGTCGACCAATGTAGATCGCTGGCTTCCGCTTTGTCCCCGCTTGGGGAATGGGCCCTCCGGGCTATTGCGACACGGAGCCGAGTCTGCGTTATTGGTAGTGTCTGTCCAAGATATATGATCTTATCGACCCATGGGGGCACCTGATCTACGGACATGGCCCTCTGGATGGCATTGTAGTGTCCGGCCATTCGGGCCGGACCCCTGACTACGACCTTCAGCCGGCTTTTCGAAACCTTAAGGCGCTGAAATTGGGTCCTTAATCAAAGGTAAAGAGGGGCCCTTTAGGGCCTCGGAACTTAGGGGGGGGGCACGTGCTCCATGTGTCCCTCCCCCTGCCTACGCTACCGGTTGGAATCCAAGTTGGAGAAGGGCGGGGGGGGGGAGTTGGAGCCCTAGCTGAATAGGACACTACGCTCCCGCTACGAAGCCTCTTACATTGGACGCGCTATGGAACATGGTCGTTTTACAACTGCCAGCCTGGCCGCCACATCCTTTTCGGAATTGAGTGATCATAGAGCGGCTATAAGGTCATCAGAACACCCGACCTAAACCTGCCTTATAGCAGCATGGGCTGACCTAAGACAGTTTATGATGTTCTAGGTAAGTTTATTAACCATGTCGCATAAAAAATGGCAATTTGATAGGTAACGAACGTAAGAGCTTGGAGCACAGGGTTTTTCACAAATTTTGTCCGTAATTTTATTCAAGTTGTACGTTTTGGTACTCTTGTGGCGCTACTGCGCCAGTTCGGGCTTGTACGCTAATGTATCGGCGCTGTGTAACGTGTGTTGGACGGTGAGAGGCAGGGGAGGCAGGTGGCGTTATGTAAACACCCGTGGGGATGGGGCTAGGTATCAGTCGTTGCAGATGTGTAGACAACGTTAATTTCAGCTTCGAACATGCGATCACAAAAGCGCGCTGTGGACTGGCGCAGAAAACATGATGCCGCGGGTGCAGGCCTCTCACTTTGTGTAACGTGTGTTGGAATGAATTTAGTCTGCCAGCCATACAAAATAGGTATTAACTCTCAGTAAATGTGCAGTGCATTAGTGAATACGTCAAGTACTTCCAGTTAACTAGATGTTTCATACAGTAGCAATGATGTTTGCAAGCAAATGATGATGTTTTATCTCTCACCTGTCACCCGCCCAGTTACCATTCACTACTGCATAGATTGTACTTCAGAAATGCTCCACTGGTTATGTCACAAGACCATAACACCATTGACAACCTGGTGATTGCTCCCTGTAGGACAGTACAGAATGGGACATGACACAGTCACACAGCACCAGACAGGACCCGGTGGCATGGGACCAGACACAGATTGATGGCGTGGGACCGGACAAGACCCTAGGACCGAACGGCATGGGATGGAACCAGACAATGGTGGATGAGACTGGACAGAACTGATTGGGACCTGATGGGTGTGAGGTGAGGCCAGGTGGAGCCTGTGTAGAGGTTGGACTTGGCCGGATCAGGAGAGACCTGACCAGACTGCCACAGGACCTAGGATGAGGCTGGATGGGGCTGAATGGGACTAGAACAGACTGGATAGTATTGGATGTAACCAGATGGGACCGGATCAAACAAAGCTGGATGGGGTCGGCTGAGACCAGACGATGCTGGATGGGAACGGACATAACGAGACGGAAGATGGGACCACACATAACTAAACAGGACTGGACGTGATCAGACGGGACCAGACTGGGACCAGACTGGGCCCAGTCTGGTCCTGGCTGGTTCTGTGCTGGTCCTGTTGGGTTTTGTACTGTCCTGTCTGGCTCCTCCTGGTCTCATCCCATCTTGTCTGATGCCATCTCAGCGCATTAGGTCCTGTCTGGTCCCGACAGGCTATGTCCAGTCTCGCCCGGTCCCAGGTATTATCTGGTTCCATCCAGTCCCAACCAGTAGCATCTTTCAGTAATTGGGTCAATAGATTTAGTAGTAAATTTTAAAGTAGTGCAGCAAAATTTTTGCAAGTAAACCCATCTGGTACCATTCAATCACATCCAGTCCCATCTGACTCCATCCAGTCACGGCCAGTTCTGTCCAGTCTCATCATGTTCCATCCTGTCCCATCTGGTGTCGTTTTGTGCAGTCAGCCAGTCACGTGCAGCGCTGTTCGATCCCATCTGGTCCCACCTGGTCCTGTTGGGTCCAGTCTGGTTCTGTCTGATTCCATCTAGTTCCGTCTAGTCCCATCTGGGCCCATCAAATCTTGTCGGGTTCCATCCAGTCCCATCTGGCCTGGTCCCGCCTGGCCCCGCATGATTTAGTCGGGTCCCGTCTGACCCCGTCATGTTCCTATGACGTTTTATCCGATTCCAGTCTGGTCCAGTTCTGTCCCGCCCGGCTCCTTTCGGTCACCCCCGCCTGCTGGCGGCCGCAGATGTGACCTGGAAACCCCAAGGTCCCATTGCATGGCTTGGAGGCTTGTGGATGTATCATCAGGTTGGCAGTGACTTGTGGGCCCATCATCAGGTTGGGAGAGAGTGGTTTTGTTATATCACCTATAATCAGATGAAAGTGGTTACACCAGCCTTGGTTACACCTTCCAACATCGGCACAAGCAGCCACACCTCAAATGTATGGGTCAGTTCAAGGGATCGGTTGATGCTATACAAGCTAGGTTGGTGACAGATGGGAGATTATCTGCCACTTACTGCAGCTTTCTGCAAGTTCTAGAAGCATAAAAATGTTTTGAGCCTTTTTCTGATCCCAATTTTGTGCAAACTGCTTCTTGAATGTGGTCCATTCAGGCTTTGCATGAAAGTGTGCTGCCTGCACTGACAATACAGCAAATTATTTGTTAACAACTGTTTACAACTCTGCTTGCACTGGGAATCCTACACTGCACAATAAATTCAAACCAGGAATGGGAAGTTCAAGCACAGTGGACAATAAAGACATAAAACATCAGGCCGACAAAGAGAAAGGGCTCATGGAGGTCAGCCTACCCCAGGTTCTGCACCTATCCTTGACACTTATCTTCCCACCTGCTTGGCCTGAATTTAGCTATAAGTGAGATCCTGAGATGGATGGATCTCGTCCAAAAATTTGTAAATGTTACTAGAGATGAATGTCCTACAACTTTGTTTGCCAGTCTATTTCCATTGATGAACCACTCTTTGGCAAAGTGACATCTGCCTCCACATTGTTCTACTTCCACCTTGCGCTAACTGAAACTGGTTCCTATAAGTCTCTACCTAATTTCCAGTCCTCCTTGTAGATCTATCTTGTTATCTATCCCTTCCATAATTGTGAATGCCCTCACTAGATCACCACTAAGTCTGTGATATTTCAGGGAATGCAAATCCAAGACCATAAGCCTTTCCTTATATTCTAAGTTGCCAATCCGGTTAATCATCTTAGCTGCATGTCTCTGCACTCTGTAGCATATCTATATCTTTTTGGAAGCATTGGTACAAAGCTTGTACACAATACTATAGGCATAGTCAGACATAAGCGAAGTACAAATTTTTGTCAACATTCTTACTCTTGTGATGGCCATTCCTGTAAGCAAGCCCCAGCATCTGAAGTGCCTTGCTCCTAGGAGCCCGATATTGGTTTTCAGCCCTTAAATCCCTGGAATTTATGACCTGTAAGTCCTTTGCTCCCTCAGTCCGGTCCAACTCAGTTTCCCATTTCATAGATATGTCCTCACTGCCAGGACTACCCATATGTATCAACATAACTTATCATAGTTAGGGGACATCTGCCACAGAAAGGCCAAGTTAACCACTTTCCCTGAGTCAAATTTCACCTGTTCTGTATTTTAGCACACCTATTAGTTTAATGTCATCAGCAAATTTAAGCACCTTTCTTTTTAGCCCTATATCCAATGCTATTCACAAAAATATAAAGAGCAAAGGACCCAACACTGACCCCTGTGGGACCTCACTCTCTTTAAGATGTTGTCATGTAGTGCTTTGTTTTGTGCAGTTTGGTTTTACAGCTTAGGTTCAGTGGGAAGTCTAACCTTAAGTGAAAGATACTCCAGGTCATATGATGGAATGGATACATTTTCAATTGTTGGTAGCTTGGCACTATGACAGTGGTTACAAGCTACACAAGAGCAGATGCAAGCTGCTTGAGATGAGCTAAAATTTCACACAAAAATGAAGAAATGTCATGGTAGCTGCTGACACATTTCACATCAGTATTGTTCACAGATAACTAAAGGCACCAGAGGAAATATTGTGTTCAGAATGGCTGGCATAATAGACTTCTACTCTCATCTGACAGGTGAGTGACTTCTGCATTCTATTCTCTGGTGAACTCATGACTGGCCAACCTGTGTGGCAGGTAGGGAATATGATCATGAAGGTCCAGAAGTTGTTTTTCACACCCAGTGATCTCGAGGCCCATTAGGATCTTGAGCAAATGTATTGGATCAATGCTTTAAGCAATACCTCGCGGACGTTGTGGCTTATCTTTCGTCACCAGCTGGCTCTTTTTCTGAGTGTATATAACTAATATAGCCTAGTTGGGACCTCAGTTAAAAGTTGTATTGCATGCATCTGACAGGACCCAGTACGAAATGTCGCAAATGCTTGGGCCATGTGCATTTCATTGGCACCCATGTGTTTTTAGCAGAAGTGCACTGTGCAGAAATGTGTTTGGTATATATATATATATATATATATATATATATATATATATATATAATATGACTGCATCTGATATGGTATGCCTATCCAAATAGCCTGTGATGTAGGTTTCTACTCAATTGGGTGGCTCCTAATTTTGGGGACAAAAAGGCCAAATCCATATACAAACTTTGCTCTTAGTGCCCTTTTGGTGGGTAGATTTGACCAGCTTTTTATTTGACCACGCTTATGTTGCAAAACTACACCCTTGCCCACAGCCATACAGTCCGCTTCCCTGGCTGATGCGGCATGTTCCCCACTGCCCACAGGGAAGGAGTGGGCGGCGCTGTTGCCGTTCGGGCTCGTGTGCGGCGGTGTCGCTGTCACGCTGTACACCAAGTTCTGCCCTCTGGCCAAGGCAAGCCTCTGCTGTGGGACTGGTTGCAGCGGAAGGTCGTGCCTCCCATGTCCTGCAACTTAGGGTCTGAAGGGTCGCATTGATGGCAGTGGATCTTGCTCTGTGAGGATTTCTCCAGAAGCATTGAATCTCGCTGCGGGGGACGCGCCCATGGAGCTTCGATATCCATGTGTGCATGGTAACATTGATCAGGGAGTTGTTCTTTGAAGCTTGTTAAAGGTACTACAGTCTGTATTTCCATTTTAAGATATGTTATAATCGTGTTTCCATTGACAAAGATCAGCACCAGTCGAGATGCACTTTACCGAACTGTTCTGAAAACCTTGTGTTTTGTCGTGAACGTTCCGGGAGTACCCGGTTCCAGCTCCAGATCCACAGTAGATCCAGATCCACATCCAGATCAAGCTCAAGGCCAGTGGCACTGCGCCGACGTCGTGTGACTTGGCCTGGTGTTCCGACAGCATTGTGTCAACATGTGCCAGAAGAAGGACTGTGACAAGGTCGTGGACTCGGTGGACATGGAGGACATCGGCGACAAGGCGTGCTTCTGCAGATGCTGGAAAAGCAAGAAGGTAGCTGCACCTTAGCTCATGTTTTAGTAACGTCACTCGACGATTGCATAACGGTGCTGGACGAGCGATTAGCCAGTAGTGTTGGCAGGAATTTAGAAGTTTCCTGTGGGTGTTGGTTGGCATTTGCTTGATTAGCAGATTGTCTTGGGACAAAGTCTGTCATTATTGCTTAAAATTGTTTCTTTGAGGCTGCTGTTGGAAGAACACCATTGGCTTCGATAGTGGCAAGGCATCTTGCTGCCTGCGGCGGTTTGAAGCCAACCGACCAGCTGTCTTGCTGGTTAGTTCCTGTCGAGGCTCTTACTGGCTTGTCTGGAGGCTCTCTGATTGTGAGGTGAGATGTTCCACGTGCCTGATGACCCCCTCGTTGCATCCGCAGTTCCCGTACTGCGACGGCAGCCACAACAAGCACAACGCCACCACCGGCGACAACGTCGGCCCGCTGATCGTCAAGAAGAAGAATGCTTAGGTGGAAGTGCTGGTGCTCTAAGAGTTGTATAGATGGTAGCACTGTTGCCCCTTTGCTAGTGGTTTTTGTAGTTGGTGATGGTATCCGCTTGGTGTGCGGTCAAAAAAGGTTTGCGGTCTGGAAGTATTCCATTGGAAGAGTGTTGAGGTTCGGCTTTTAACTTGGAATTTTGTGTTATGTCATGTAATATTTAATGGTGAATATTTGGTTTTCGATCAAACTATTTGTATCATGAATGCTTGGCTTCCGCATGGAACGCAGAAGAACACGTGTATACTGTGTTTGCTTTTAGTTGGAGATCTCAGGAACGAGCTTTGGGTGCAGAATGAAAAGGAATGTAACCGACTAAATCGATGTGTATTCGCGGACGAGAAAAACGAGAAATCGCAAGGCGTGTGATACCGAACAAACTTATGTCCCTTAGCCCACGGACTGCACGGACAAACTATAACGGTGCGTAGTCCACTATCTTCGGGACTACCCGACAGGATTTCAAACTGGGAGACAGTGGGTGGTCTGTACTTGGATGGCCAACATCGCCAGTGGCGATACGTTGGAACATTCGATTTGTCGCAGCGTCCGCCCGAACTTCTCCGTCTTTTCTGTCCTTAACTTGAACAGTTTGCGTGGCTTGATCCGGTTTCAAATTTGTGTGGCGATGGTACGTTTTGTCGCCATGACAACTATGCGGAATTCACCCCTATGCACAGACCCCATGCAGTGTATTTCTGTTTCTGTTGTCTAGCTCCACTCATCCCGCACCTCAATGTCCACGTAGTCAGCCAACAGCAGCCTAGCGTCATCGACTATAAAGCGTATGGGCATCTATGTTGGCCAACTGCTCGTCGTATGTACTAGGTCCAGCTTGAACGACTCATGATCACGTGCCACGGAAATGACGTGATTATCAGCCAATGAGAAGCACGTATGGTATCGCGCGATGGGCTGGTGAACCAATCACAGAGTGTGGGTTCCCAAGGCGATCCCACACCCAGCTATGCTGAATCTATATGACATCACGGCTCTAATCCCGCAGCTATGTTACACATACTCAAGCAGGTCCTCATGCTAGCGCCATTGTGCTCTGGCCCTAATGTCGCCTGCGTCCTCCAAGCATGTGGTTAATTAACCGTGAGTCGGGAGACATGATCCCAAATTTGTCGAGAATGAGTTTCGTCCCGTACAATTTGCCGTGTTGAATGCATATTTGCATGTTTTTCATCAAAAAGTCATTTTCAAATCAGGTTGTCCCCCTGGACTCCAGTTTGACCCCTCCCGTCCTTGTTTCGCTCAACGGGAGTGAGTTCGGTCTGAGCTGGCATCTGCATGGTGCCGCTACCCTGTTGCCGTCTTTCTGTTGCCATTCCGGCCTAATGCCCGCCCAGCCTTTTTATGACGCTGGCTAGGACTAACCAACACTCCTGCTGGGTTCACCAAGCTATTTATTCAACCGTCCTTTACGTTTTCGGATCATGCATGTTGGGTACACAAGTTCGTAGAAAGGTCGCCACGGAAAACACTAACGCGCGTGCGCTGTCGTCTCGGGCGTCAGCTGACGCAGACTCCATCCGAATGCCGCGCCGCCGCCATCTTGTTTCCGCCCGCGGGCGCCACACCGGAGGCTTTGTCGCCGGCTGATCCGTGACGTCACGCCAGTAGGTGGCTGCCATTTTGTATCGCGTGTGCTCCGCCACTCACTCCGTCTCTGTCGTCAGTCTTTCGTCCGTGGATTCGCCGCCGGTGGCTAGTGGCGCTACTAGCGGCGACTCGCGAAGCTTTACATGTCCAGGTTGTCCATAGAGGTCAGCATGTGATACTTGGCCATGCCGGACGGGGGCTTACCGGTGGCCTGGAATCAAAAGGAGAGCTGTTCAGTGTTTGGGGGTTGTGCGTCCCAGTCACACGCAGCGTCAACGCGTAGGCGAACATAACTGAATCGAAATTGGTTGGGATTAGTCATCGACAGGCAAGCTCGCACCTGTCACATCTGAGCTAAAGTTTCCGCATTTTGTATTCACTTGGAGCGTATCATAGACAGGTAATTGACCACAGCATCCCTAGAAACACGGAAGGTCTAATGTTCTTTAAACCTCGAGTGCGAATGAGGCAGCAGGAATGCCAGTTGGTTTCCATCATGGCGACCGGTTATCGCTCACCAGAACGTCAGGTTCCTCGCTCACGCTGCGACTGGTACCTACCATTCACGATGGAAATGTTTGTCCTGAGTCAAGTTAGAGGTCGTTTACATCGCCATCTGTAAAGAAAAGTCAGTGAAGTTCCCCGTCCACAGCAAATCCAGCCACTGCGCATCTACCCTTCAGGCGGATCATGCCCAGACAGGCTGGTGCGATGCTCAGTGCCAGCTCACTGAGCTGGCAGGCATCGTCACAGGAGGAGGGGCTTGATCGTGGGCCTTTTCCACGCCACCGTCCTCTCAGAACACTAAGCGAGTGCATCGTATCCACTCGGGCTGCTTCGTGATGGGACAATGGTCTAATGGTCTAACACGCTATCGTGCCCGTTTAGCTGCCGCCAGTCTTTGGGGCATGCAACGAGCCTTTGGTGGCCGTATATTCCCTGGATAACGCGCACAACCACCAGCGGCGAAGCACTCGCGCTATATGGCCAATAACTTTCCGTTCGCACGAGCACCGCATACACAGTCACAGACGCACCGCACCACTAGCGACACCTACAACAGATATCTACAGTCGGCGTCAGCCTGCGCAGCGTCGGTATTGTGACAGCGCGCAGTACGTACCGGGCTGGCGCCACGGACGGCAGAGGCGCCGCGACCGCGAGCGCGGAACTTGGCCAGAGTCTGCTCGGCCAGGTCACAGCGCTCCTCCGACTCCTCCAGCTCCTGTGGAGGTCAGCCATGGGTCAGCCGGAGGTTAGCCAGCAGTCAGCCAGGGGGCAACAGGCGCTACAGGTCGGAGCGTTCGGAGGCTGATGCGGTGTGCAAAATGGCGTGGCGGGCAAGGCGACTATTCGATGTGTTTTTGACAAAGATGAAGCAAGATTTGATTCGACAAGGCATTCCTGGCAAAGGTCGCGATTATCCGTGTCGATCCTCGAACAAACGTACAATATAATAATTGCATCTATAAGTTATAAGTCAATAAGTCTATCAGTTCCACACCGATGCAAGATTTCGTCAGATCGCGTTGAGTTAGTTGAGTAAGTGGTCGGGGCCTATCCCAACAGCACCCACCTGCTGCGCCTTCCTGAACTTGGCCAGGTTGAGGGCGGCAATCTCCTCCGCCTCCTCAATCTGCCGCTTGTACGTCTTGATCTTCTGCTGCAGCTTGTCGACCAGGTCCTGCATGCGCTCGTGGTTCTTCTTGTCCTCGTCCGCCTGCGCATGGGAGCGTGATGTCAGCGGGTCCGCCGGCGCTGGGAAGGGCTGGTACCGGGGCGAAAATGAGCCTCCCTCGCCTCCCTCAAGCTTCCCGGACAGCCTTCGTCGGGAGACCGGCTACCCACGAACGTAAACCCAAGTCCAGCTCGTGAGGATGGCATGCATTCACGGCATTCCGTGTCAACAGCACCTGAAAACTTCGAGACCCTGCTTTTGCACCCACGACAGGTGAGAGAGCCTATGGCAATCCGTGGGCAGACGAGCAGCTGTGAGCATAACCACACCTCCATCTGAGCGCTTTCTCCGCTCCTGTGACGAGCCAGACGGCACATGCCGCTTCCCGCGAAAGCACAGCTGATCGCTGACCCTTACCTGGAAGCTGAGCTCCTTGATGCGACGCTCGGTCTTGCGCAGGTTCTTCTGCGCCTCGCTGTGACGACGCTGCTCAGAGTCCAGCTCCTGCTCCACCGTCCTGACGCGCTCCTCCAGCTTCTGGATCATCTTGCGGCTCGTCTTCATGGCGTTCTGCTCCGCCTCGTCCACTCGCACCTGGCGCGGTCACGGGTCGGGGTCAGTGGGCGGAGGTCGAGGAGTTTGGGGGGGGGGGGGGAGCGAGGGCGGCATGCGCTGTCGTGGATCGGTCGCCTTGCTAACGGCGCTTTGTAGGACGGCAGGAAGTGCAGGGCGAATAACGGAGACGTGGCAGAAATGCATTCACCACTTACAAGTTTTGTTCCTACGATCTACCCAGAACTTGACTTGTCAGAAAAGTTTTTAGATTGCCTTAAAAACCTAATACTGCTCATCGTCCTTCCAGTTATGCCTTCATGGCAAGGTCGTTATGCGTTTGTTGAGTGGACAATAACGTTACTCTCGTTCTGAGGATCGGACAGATATGCTTTGTTTACCAGCTTGTCTATCTTACCGAGGTTTTTCGGCTAGCAAGCCTCAGTTCTGTCGTTGTAATTTGAAGTAACTCTGGGCAGGGATAATGTCGAGCTCCGGTAACCGCACCATCACCGAATGACCTTATTTTCCTATCCCATCAATCATCCGCACTTGGCCAACTTAGTCCCACAGACGCCTGTCCCCGACCGTACCTGCAGATCCTTGACCTGGATCTCCAGCGCCTTGCGCATCTTCTCCTGAGTCTGAGCGTGCTCCTGCTCGGCGCGCAGCTCATCAGCCAGCCTGAAGAACAGACGTCACGCCGCGTCATATGACGTCATTGGGACCACAAAAATGTCAGGGCGTTTTAACAAGAGATCACGCGAGATGCGCTGAGCCCTCCATCATGCTCACTGTCATCATCATCGCCACCATCAGACACCACATCTACCATCACCAACACTGGGGCCACTGGGTGATGCCGTCGGCATCAGCATCAACATCAGAATCAAAATACTTAGCGCAACTGTCAGAAGCATCAACGTCATCACCAACATCACCATCATTATCCCCATCACCGCCATCACCGTGATCACAGCCTCACGTCTCACCTGGCGGCGTCCACCATGGCCTTCTTGGCCTTCTCCTCTGAGTTCTTAGCCTCGTTGAGCATCTCGTCCAGGTCGGCATGCAGCGACTGCACCTCTCCCTCCAGCTTCCTCTTGGCCATGCTCGCCGCGGCGAAGTTGGCCTGTGCGTCTGCCAGCGTCTCGTGGTTGTCGGCCAGCTCCGCCTCCGCCTGTCGGACAGCGTGACGTCACGGGTTACTCGCGGCTCGGTCAGTGATTGCTGAGTTGATGCTGCTTGTATTCAGCCTTAACGTCGTCCCCCAATTAACCTCTTCTTGACAAGTAGCATGCACGCACCACAACATAACATAGCAACATACAACATAACGTGATGCCTGCCGGGCTGATTCCTGAGTTCTGACCTCCGCGGGGGCAGTGTCATGCCTGAGCCTCTCTGGGTCTGTGCCATCCCCTTGTGACCTCCATAAGATTTACGGCAAACCACGCGCTCGACCCCGGGCTTCTGCCATTTCCACCTGCCTCTGCCCCGTTCTCTCTCCCCTCTCTTCTCCCCTGATCTCTGTCCTCTCGCCACTTCCTTGCCCATCCCCCGTACTGACTCATGCTGCCCTTCCTCTCCCTGACCCATCTCACGTCCTTTTTCACCCCTGTCCCTTTTCCCCTCCCGACACCTGGCCCCGCTCCTCCCTGATCCATCTCGTCCTCCCCCCCTCTCTCTCGCTGTTTTCTTCACCTCCACGACCCCAGCCCCTTCACCTCCCCGACCCCAGCCCCTTCGCCTCCCCGACCCCAGCCCTTTCACCTCCCTGACCCCGTGCCCAACCGTCGGTGACCTCGCCTGACCTGGCGGCGGCCGCGGTCGGCCTGCTCCAGCAGGGTTCGGCTCTCCTCCAGCTCGCCGTGCAGGGCGTTGGCGCGCCGCTCCGAGATGCCCAGCTGCTCGCGCACGTCGTCCCGGGCGCGCTGCTCCTCCTCGAGGCGCGCCTGCGTCTCCTTGATCTCGTTCTGGTAGCGCTTGATGGTCTTCTGCGCCTCGGCGTTGGCCTTGTTGGCGTGGTCCAGCGCAATCTCCAGCTCGTTGATGTCCGACTCGAGCTTCTTCTTCATGCGCATGGCCTCGGCGCGGCCCTTGGCCTCGGCCTCGAGGGACGCCTGCATCGAGTCGAGCGCGCGCTGGTGGTTCTTGCTGTGGGGGACGGAGCGAACTGTGAGTGTGAGCGCGTTTGGAAGAGCGCGGGGAGCGTGAATGGTGGTGCCGTGCGGCTGGGACCAGAAACTACTCAGGAGAGTATGTTGATCGCCAGGACAGAGTCGAGGATGAGGAGTGAAATTAAGCGTGCGCGATAGAAAAAAAATGAGAGGAATGGGCCATCAGTGCGAGCGACAACAGACAGCATCCACGCTCTGCGTATTGACCAGGAACGCATGCACCAGCATCTCTCTGAGGTTCGGTTCAAACTAGAAGGCCCCCTTTAACTGTCGAACACTTTTTCTTTACTTTCGAAAGTAAACAAAAAGTGTTTGACGGTTAAAGGTGGGTTTTCTAGTGGCTATGGAACCTTTCCAAGGTGTCAAGAGAGCCCACCAGCCCGCCAGAGGCGTATCAAACCGACCAAACCGTCTCCAATCTCGCCCCGCCCCGCCCATGTCCCGGTACGTACCGCGTGTTCTCGAACTCCTCCTCCTTCTCCTGGATGCGCCGGTCGATCTCCTGGCGCACCTGGCTCAGCTCCAGCTGGCCGCGCAGCACCTTGTTCTCCTCCTGCTCCAGCGCGCTCTCGGCCTCCTCCAGCGCCGCCTGCAGCTCCTCCTTCTCCACCTCGAGGCGCTTGCGCGACTTCTCGATCTCGTGCACGTTGCGGCCGCCCTCGCCGATCTGGTCCATCAGGTCCTGCATGGGTCAGGTCAGGTAATGTCAGGTCATGCACGAGCCTGTCAGTCCGAAGTGGACGGGTTTGTGTCGGGCCCGTTCAAATACAGTTTTGCCAAATGCAGTCAAATGGAATGCCCGGTGGATATTCCAGCTCCTTGCTGGATAAATTCGCTAAGTATGTTCGTCCTCTCGCAAAATGACCACTGCCGTCGACGTGACTCTAACCCCAGACATCCCTCTGGCCGAAGCGACATTGCGTGCAACGATCTAACAGACCACATATGTCCCAGTCTCAGGTCGTCAGAGAACCCATCCTCAGCGCAACCGTCAAGGATCAAAATTAGCCGCGTGATCCGTGCGACGCCTCCTTTCAACCTGGTCTCTTAGATCTTCCCTCACTCCGATCTCCTATTATGATTGCACATCACCCTGATCTTTTCTCATCAACTCCTGCACCTAGATCTTATATTTACCATCACACTGATCTTCCGCTACCATATTCTCTTACTTGGTCTCATCTTACGATCTCCCCTCACACTCGTCTTGTCTTACAAGTTCCCATCACTCCGCATCTTCTCTCATGCTCTCCTTTGACCCCGATCTACACTCACCTTGATCTCATCGGCCAGGTTCTTGTTCTCACGGCGCACCGAGTCGAGCTGCTCCTGCGACTCGTCGAAGGCGGCCTTGATGCGGAACAGCTCGGTGCTGTAGTTGCGGCACTCCTTCTGCGAGGCGTCGAGCTCGGCGGACAGGTCGTCCACCTTCATCTTCCACTCGCCGATGATCTTGTCGAAGTTGCGCGCCTTCTTCTCCATGGCGTTAGCGAGCTGCTGGGCGCGGTCCACTTCCATGTGCATGTCCTCCAGCTCTCCAGACAGCCGAGACTTGAGCTTCTCCAGCTGGATGTTCTTGGTGTTGAGCGACTCGAGCTGCTCCTCGGCCTCCTGGAGACGCGCCGCCAGCTTGCGCCGGTGCTCCTCCAGCTCCTCCGCCCTGGAGAGTGGCGAGTCGGGCGTCAGAGTCAGAGTCAGGGTCGCGCAGAGCCGGGCGAAGCGCGGCTAGAGTCGCGCAGGGAAGTTGTCAGGGTGGCGTGGCAATGGTAACGAAGGGATCACGAGACCAACCGAAAGTTTCGCCCTTCCAGTGTTGTGGGTTATTCTGAACAGTCGATGGGGGATGCTGGTACATCCTGCGCTTTAAGGAATATGGGCCATATAGCTATTGAGTACCTGAACTGGCTCTCCACACCTTACTTTGCATTTTTACCAACGTAATGTAAAACAAGCAAAAATTGAGAGATCATGTGGTTAGGATTTACGATATTGCGGACTTACGACAGAAACCATAAGCTCGGGTTGCAAAATCCAAACAGCCATGATGCATTACGAGTTCCATAACTCAGCTTATTACCAACATTACCGGGTCTAGGCTCCCAATCGCCATTCACCACCACCGCCATTGACCTCGGTTGCAAATCCCTTCAAACCACCAGATATCTTCAGACTCATCACCGACAGCTGCCGGCCCAAACCACCCCGGTCTCTCCGCACCTCGCGCCGAGCCAGCCGAACCACCTCCCGCGTACCTGGCCAGGCCGTCCTGCTCATACTTCTGCCGCCACATCTGCGACTCTGCGTTGGCCTTGCTCAGCTGGCGCTGCAGGTCAGCCTTGTGCTCGGCCTCCTCGTCCACCTGCTCGCGCATCGAGTCGAGGTCGTGCTCCAGGTTGCGGAACTTGCCCAGGATGGTGGCACGCTCGCGCGACTCCTCGTCAGCCATGCGGCGCGTGTCCTCCAGCTGGGTCGTCAGCGACACCTTCAGCTTGGAGAGCTGCGAGATCTGGCTCTCGGCCTCCTCCAACTGCGGAGGGCGAGGTGGAGGTCAGTGGGGGTCAGAATAGGTCAGGCTGGGGTCAGGATGGAGATCGGTGGGCGCGTCAGGTCAGATGTAATGCCAGATCTAACGATGCATTATCGGAACGAGCAGTTCCAATAAGGTCTGTCCGTAATTTGTGTGGCGGTAAATAACGTTCCAATGGTGCTGCTGTCCCAATCCCTGGCGATGTGCTCCACATCACCGGCTATGTACTCAACATCACTGACTATGTGTGCCACGTCTTTCCCTTTCGCTATACGACAAAAAAATACTCGCGACTTTGCTGATAACCCCTGTAAAACATCAAAAGCTTACGAGCATCGGGCAGTGTGGTCTTTGTACACCAATTTCTTGTAAGGAGAATCGCTTTTGATAATGGCTAACCCCGAACGCGATTACGGTGAAAGGCTCCGGAGGACACGCCGCGGAAACCGCACGAGACACTGCTGTGCCCCAGCGGTGTCTCCCAATCCCGGCTCCTCTCGTATCAAGAAAGATCCGTCGGGGCTGTTCAGAGGGTTCGACAACCCGTTTGAGGGACGTCCACACGGCTGAACCCGCAGCGGAGGGCGTCAGGACGATGGCGAGGGGACCAACCTGACGGCTGTACTCGGAGTTCTCAATGGTCAGCTTCTTCTTCGAGGCGTCGAAGTCGTTGAGCGTGCGGTTGGCCTCGTCCAGCTTGGACGTGACCTCATTGATCTGCTGCTGCAGGATCTTGTTCATCTTTTCCGCGGCGGCCTAGCGGTCGCCGTGCGAAGGTCAGTTAGCTGAACATGTGGCTGAACATTTAGCTGTACATACAGCTGGACAGGACATCACGGGGCACTCACGGGGCTCGCCAAGACCGCCACTTCACGCTCGGCCGTAAAGGCCGACGTCTGGCAGTGAATCTGTTACGGGCGTATGCGTAGACATGTTGCAATCTGAATCTTCGGGAGTGATCACCGCACGCGCGACACAGACTTCGGTGTCGTATTTCACAGAGTTTTAGTAAAACGTATTTGGCGTCGTCGTTTTGGAAGTGACACGAAATGAATGGCGAACGGCTCTTTTTATGGCGGAACCGAACTGAATAAACTAAGCGAAAGCCACGGAAGAGATCAGTTAACACACATGTAGCGAGATTACCTCGTCCGGCAACCACGGGCTCGCTAGCGTTGACATTTCAGTAAGCAAGTAAGCAAGAACGTCGACTGTGCTTTGGTTATGTACAACCAAGGAACCGGAAATGCAGATGACACGGTCGACAAACCTGCGGTGACATATATGAACAGTCTGACAGAAAACGAGAAGATATTGAAATGCTACCTTCTGACAAAGTTTCCTTGGGAGGAAGCAAGGTCACGGGGTGACAAAGTCTGTCGCTGGAAATATCGTCTTTCATTGACTGTCTTTATTGTCTTTCACAGACTGAACTCTGACGTTCCATGACAAGATTTGTCGGGAGTGACATTCCGTCCGCCTCTGACAGACATTGGCATAGAACGTGACAGACTTTGTCAGGCCACGACGTCACGTCATCCCTCGGTGCGTGTGTCAGGGACAGCACACCACCACGAGCTCCCTCACACCGCGCCGTCGGAGCAACACAATCACGGTACTACAGTCCGGACGGCGGCGGTTAGTGAAGCGCGTTAGTGGGTGAGCCACCGCGGCTGCCGGCCGCCAGAGGCAGCCGCCAGTTACCGAATCCTGCTGCGCGCGGTGCAGGGACGCGCGGCCATCTTGGACATCCGTCAGCACGCCCGTGCGGTCCCGTTCGGCGCTACAAAACGCAGCCACATGCATCAGGCGCGCGCTCCGGGCAAAAGGACGCCCGGAAAGGTCCGGCCGCCTCAAAATCGTGCCGGTGTAGCCTGAAGGTCTAAAAGCGTCAGATCGCCAGGTGGTCGAAAACGCCGGGGTTCTTAAAATGGGGCTGGGTGCTTAGGTGGTCCCTATTGGCATTCCTCTGGTACCTTCTCGTTGGAGGCAAAGTTAAGACCGGTTCGGAGGTCCATGACATCCGTTGCCGTAGACTCACGGTCCTTCTCAGACCTGTAAACACCCGAGAGCGTGCAGCCTCCTACACCCCACACGCATCTACGCCCTGCCGATCTCCTTCGACACTGTCCACTGCCTACAAGTGGCCTACTCCACAGCACACACATCCAAACCCCACCCACTTCATTCAGTACCGCCTCCGCTGTCTACGAATGGTGCACCCTGGCGCCTGTACTGCGCTGCCGTTCCTGCTAATCTCGTGCCGGCTGCTAACCACCCAGCTTGCTACGGTACGTGTATCTACCAGGACGAAGTCGTCCAGGACTCTAGTCACGAGCCCGTACCTTGTCGCGGTTCACCATTTCAACCGCCTGCCTGGCATCATGGGCCTCGTGCGCGTACTGAGTACGTTCTTTCTCCAGCCTAAGGTACGGACAACGTTCAACACGATGATTGGGTGCTCGCTATGAAGACAAATGCACGGAAAATGTCCAACACGACGCCAGCACGCTCCTTCTACAGCAAAAGTGGATACAATATCGATCGTAAGTATCTCTGCATGTTTTCTTCAGTTCAGATTACGGCCAATGTTGAGCTGACAGTAGTGCGCACTCAAAGTTCTTTGCGTATTTTTCTGAGCATAAAGGGCACAAAGAGCACTGTGCTCTCAAATAGCACAATTATCTGCGCTCGTAAAGATAAACAATACTAAATCGCATATCTTTATAAGGGATGCGGATTGTGCCTGCTTCACAGGCGATTGTGTCATTCCTTTCGTATTTTACCAAAATCGTGCATCGCGGGAACTAGATATTAATTTACAATTTAACCGTCAACCAACAGCGTAGACGACTGCGATGCACAGACATCTGCACGGCCACAGCGACACTGTCCTTCTGAAACTCACTTGGCCTTCATCTTGTTGAGCTGGTCGATCTGCTCCGACATCTCGGCGATGGCGTCGTTGTGACGTCGCCGCAGGCCGGCCAGTGCCGACTCGTGCTGGATGTTCTGCAGGCGTGACGTCAAAATGACGTCAGGCTCCCCGGTCGCAAGTGTAATGAACACGGAAAACACGTCCACCCATCGGAATAGATACAGGTACTTCGAACGATGGGAACATAATGTAACCCACCAATGGCTGAATTTAACAAATAATGGCTGTAACAAACAAGCAAATAATGTAACAAGCCAATGGCTGGACTCTTCTGAACGTACTGTTTGCGTCGCAGGCTTAGTTATCCACCAGAACTCGTTAGATTTTGTTTTAAATATCAGCGTACCCTCTGAAACCGGTCACTCCGCCCCAGCCTATCGCACAGATCATCGCCTCAGTGCCCGCATCGTATGCGATTCACATCAAATTCCCCAGCACAGACCCAAAGCTGCCGAGTTCGCGCCTGGCTTGACGCAATATCCCACCAGCCGGCAGTGGTGGGAGTCAGCACTAGGAACAGGGGAGGGGGGGGGGGGGGCGGGGGTAACCACTCGCTACCCACCTGCTCCTCAATGTCCCGGCGCAATTTGGCCAGCTCGGCCTCGCGCTTCTTGTTGAGCTCGATCTGCGCGGCGGTGGCGCCACCTGCCTCGTCCAGACGCTCACCCAGCTCCTCCAGCTCGCGGGCCTGGTGGTGCGCAGGTCACAGCGGGTCAGGGCAGGTTACATCAGGTCAGGACAGGTGACGACAGGCTACACCAATCATCGCATATTACGGCAGATCGGTTCAAAGTGAAAAACAACATTGAACTCATTGAACTGGGTACCGCATGCCTCGAGCGAAGCTCCTGCCAAGCGTTGCACTTTATTGCCTCCGCTCCGAATACTGAGTTCACAAAACTGCAAAACCAAACACGTGATGCGTGCGGCGAGAAACGTCCGGGACGTGATGCGCGTGAACCCCGAAACGTTTGAAACATCAACGGCCAACTTGGCAAGAAGCCGTGCAGTCGCACGCGGTATCCCAAGTGAGCCCTGCACGAGCCGCGCGCCGCATGACCCCGGCGCGGCCACTGACCAGGTCGGCGCGCTGCTTCTCAGCCTTGGCGCGCGCCTGGCGCTCGGCCTCGAGCTCCTCCTCCAGCTCCTCGATCCTGCTCTGCAGCTCCTTGATCTGCTTCTGCAGCTTGCTGACCAGGGACTGCTCGTCCTCGAGCTTGGCTGCAGGCAGCGGCGGGTCAAAGGGTCAGACGATTGGCGGGCTAAAAGGGTCAATCGTAGACAATGTGCATGTTCTCAATCAAATGAAAGGCACGAAAACATGAGTAAATACGCAAACTACGATTTCCATTAAGAGCAAAACAAGTTAAGTTATCAACAAGCCACAGCTAGCTGGCATCGACCGCATCACCTCTCGACTGCAAGCTCTCTCAAACAGCCGCTCGGCCGGCGTCACACCCCTCCTCATGCCGTTCCTCCGCTTACCGGACAGGGAGGCGATCTCCTTGTCCTTGCGCGCAATGGTCTGCTCGAGCTCCTTCTTGTTGCGCTCCAGGTCGGCCACAGCCTCCTGGGTCAGCTTCAGGTCACCCTCCACCTTCCGCTTGTTCTTCTCAACGTCGGCGCGCAGCTTCTTCTCGCGTTCCAGCGAATCCTCCAGCTCGTCCAGCGTCTGCTCCAGCTTGGCCTTCACCTTGTTGAGGTGGTTGACCTTGTCCTCCTGCGACTGCAGGTCCTCGGCCGTCTTCTGCTGGTTCTCCTGTGGAAGAGGTTGAGACGGTGAGTCGCGTGGTCAGGTGCGCTCGTTGGCTGGTGCGCTCGTGCCGCGTTCACCATGGTTGCCGGCCATGACCCGGTAACCACGCTGTAATCTGTATGGTTATCTTTTAACCGAGACTTCTTCTAGACGGACGGCACATCCACCTGCGCTTCGAGAACGAGCTGGTTTCCTTGTATCTGAAGACGGCTAAGCATACTAAGAAGCACACCAGCATGCTATTAGAACATTTACCCCAAGAGAAATTCCCAAACCACATAAGTGAATGCTTGTTGACGCCCACCTGTCCCGTGTAGCACCAAGACCATGCCAAACCGACTTGAAAACCGCGCCTCAGTATCAAGTGACACCAAGTTCAACAACATCGTCTCACCTGGAGCTGCTTCTTCTCCTTGTTGAGTTTGTTGATGAGCTCGTCCTGGTGGGCGATCTCGTCGTTGAGGTTGCGGATCTGGTGGTCCTTGGTGGCCTTGTCCTGCTCACCCTTCTGAATGGACAGCTCGAGGTCCTCGATGTCCTTCTTCTGGCCGTTCAGCTCCTGCTCCAGCTTCTTCTTGCCCTGGTTCAGGGCGTTGCGGGCCTCTTCCTCCTGGGCCAGGCGGTCTTGTGTGTCCTGAGAAGGTGAAGGTAGCTCCATGAGCTTTGCCGCACTCACGAGAACACTGGTGCCTGGTTCATACACAGGATACGTCAGCGAGCGCCAGGCAACATCGCGTGAAGCCCGCCAGAAAATGGTTACCGCCGTCAGCAGCTCCATCACTCTCACAAGCAGGCGCTTGCTGACTCGAGTTCCACCCAATATACGTGCCTGGCGGAAGCGAAACGGCAGACAACAGTGGGGGCGCAGGCAACAATTCGACTTCCGTACTTCAGCAATCTCCCCCGCCATATACTGCTAACAAAGCTAACTAGCACAACCCCGAGACCTCTGGCAATCACACCCAGCGACCAGACAACCGTCGGACAGCCAGAGAGACAGCGAGACAGGCGACAGCCGCCGCGCGGCGGTACGCACCGACAGCTGGTTCTCGAGGTCCTGCTTCTGCGCCTGCAGCTTCTGCTGCTTGGTGTGGAAGTCGCTGAGCGAGCCCTTCTCCGAGTCGAGGGCCGACGTAAGGTCGTCCTTCTCCTTGTTCAGCTTGGCGTTCTGTTCCTCCAGCTGCTTGCGCAACTTCTCCTCCTTCTCCAGCGCTTCGAGGGCCTTCTGCGCCTTCTCCTCCAGGGCCTGCGGGGAGACGAGGAGGAGATCAGCTCTGGGAACTCCGAAAAGGCACGTGGACCCCGTCACATACGCCGTCTTCGGCGCGCTCGCACGTGCTGTTTCGAGGTGGTGACGTCATTTCGGTGATTGCTGATTTTTGCCGACAAGAGTCAAATAATAAATAGTCCTCCGATAAGATTCCAATAAGCCGCTATCCAACATCAACTACATGCTTAGTTAGCAGATGGCGATACGTACGCGCATTTCATCCTCGATGCGCGTGACGTTGAGCATGGGCTTGATCTTCTGCCACAGCTTGAACCACATCCAGTTGCGCAGCTGCATGTACTTGCGCAGGTTGCGCTGTACCACCTGGAGAGCGATTCTGTGGGAGGAGGAGACACCAGACATGTGACAATGATTCTTGATCATATGCTTAAGACATTCTAAGAGGCGTGGCGCACTCGGTATGATAATATCTGGGTGTGGACGTCTCTGTGCTAGCAAATTGTACTGACCCTGTATTGACGAACGTCAATCGGACTATAGCGGGGTTGAATCATACGGCATTACTTGAAGCAAAAGTCTGCGGATATGCAGGTCACGAAATAATTCAAACACATGGGACGCAGATCACTGAAATGCGTGGATAAATATAGCACGAACTTTCCCACATTTTCGCGCAACTAATCCATGCTCTGTTTACAGACACCTCACGCCTCCACACCCAAGCTGTCTTCACACATCACCCATTAGCACCTCTCGTCCTCTCGTCCCTACCCCCACCCTATCCCCCTCCTTTTCTTCTTCTCGTTCTCGGCCCTCCTCCACCACCCCGTCCACACTCACCTCTGGTCCTGGAGCTTCTTGTACTCCTTGCGGGAGAAGTAGCCACGGATCCAGGCCTGCAGCCACGAGAAGATCTTGGCCAGACGGTCGTCGCGGAGCTCCTCCATCTGACCCAGCACTCCGGCGCGGAAGAACACCTGAGGTCACGCCGGGCCACGTCAGGTCACGGTACAGGCCAAACAGGTCACAGGTCGCACGAAAGGTCACCGCAGAGCCATATTGACGGGCTGAGAGACGGCAGTCGGAAGACGTAAACGTGACCGTGACCAGCGAGCAGCACGTGATTAAAGCTCAGCCCTTTGCACAAGGAGATACTCTGATTTTTTCCGTGAAGCCGGCTTTTGCCGGACTTGGTTTTGACATCGTAAACGTGGTAAAGTCACGACAAAAAATTCGAGCATGAAGAGTCGAGAAGGTAAAGGAAAGTTAACTAAAGCAAGCCCGACAACCGTCATCTGGACACGATGACCCACCATTTTACACTTACCTGGAAAATGCGTAACCAACGCTGTTATTTTTAGAAGGCAATAGTAGGAAAAGGATGGCAGAAAGGCGCACGTGTTCAAGGCATGAGTCATTTCACCTCAGCCATATAACGGAGAGTTGCTTTCAGTCTGCGGCTTGTTGTTAAATGGAGCATGCATGGCATGTGGTTTCATTCATGCAGTTTGCGGGCTCCAGGCGAGATATTTACAGCCATTGCCGGCGGTGTTATGCGCCACTGGAGAGACTTCAATGCACTGTACACAACAGAATGGACGCGAAATCTCTCGAGGTTCGCCAGCGAAAGCGAAGTGGTGCAATTTTCTAGAGAGCCCCACGGCACTAGCACTGGAAAGTGGTGCGTTTCTCAAATGAACGCGAAACAAAATAACTTAAATCGTGAACGGCGACTGACGGCCAGGAAGAGGCAATGCAGTGCTCAGTGCAGCCCCTTTCGCTCCCATGCATCCGGAAGTACCTTGTTCAGCCCGTATCTGTACAGGCCATCGAACTGGTCCTGTCTCGCCAGAACTTTTTTGGTGGCCCGTCTGGGGTCCATCGACTCCGGTATGGCCTTGATGAGCAGAATGCGATAGCTGGCCAAATGGGCGGCGTTAGTATCGCCTCGTCTCTCTGTATGCCGAGCTTGACAAGGACAAAATGGCCCCAACAGCCGAAGCGTTGCATAAGACCGATCACTATCGCCCGCTCGCTTCGCGGCTGGAACAGAGCCAGCGGCGAGCCGGAGCTGCAGTCTGAGCTCAGGCAGGTTAGCTCGCGGAGCTCACCATGCGTCCACCAGCCACAAGCACCGGCCGCGCGCCGCCTGTGCGCCACGCTGCTCGCCGCCGCGGCAAAGCCGACGAGCGCCAGCCCCAGACGCCGGCCGCTGATGCATCCGACCGCTGCACATCCGCCAAGCCGGACAGCGCTCGCACACGACAGCGGCCGGCGAGGCGCCAGGCGAGCAGCGGCTAGCCAAGCAGCTGCAGCGGGCGAGGCGCCTGGCGAGCCGCGGCTAGCTAAGTAGCTGCGGCGGGCGAGGTGCCGGGCGAGCAGCGGCTAGCCAAGCAGCTGCTGCGCTCGTCAAACGCCCCCACCCAAGCCCAAGCGGCGTACGACACACGGCGACGTACGCGGACCGCCTGGGCGGCGGCTCTTCTCGCCTCGCTGGGGCGGTCACGGCCCGGGCCGGGCGCCGCACTAGCGCGTTAGACGGGCTTGGGCTCTCTGTCACATGCAGGTGTATGGGTGCCTGCGGGGAAGACGCGTCCGTGGACAGTGGTGCCGGCTGGCTCACGCTTCATACGGGGAGGGGGCATGCTCTATATCAACGGTTCCAGGACAGCTCGACCTGGGCTAATGGGGACAAGCGCAGGCATCGCCTTGGGTACAACGAGAATCAGGCAGACAATCGGGTCGCAGGGCTCATTCTCGGATGTCGGGGGAAGAGAAGCCAAGACGAGGGGTGCAGATCGTGGCTGGTGTGGAGGGGTGGTCTGGGGGTCCACAGCTGGGTCTCGACTCTCAGACCTTTGTGAGGAGGGGGAGACATCAGATTCGGTGGGCATGCCTTGGTTTACTCCAGTCGCCACGCCGCCCCACGAGCGACAGTTCACGCTGCAACCTGCTCGCTTTTTGTGGCTGGCATTTGGTTAGCTCCGGGTCGGTGCGCGTGCACCTCGGGCTGGGAAATGTGGGTCAGCTCTCGGTCACACGGGGGTCATTCGATGCAGGTCAGGCAGCCTAAACACAGGGTCAAACGGAAGGGCAGAGTTCAAACGACGTCACCGCGTAAAGTCCAGATGAACTGCACATCGGTCAAAACAATATGCGCAGGTTGGTGGGTAGGATGCAGTGTCAATGTACGACCATAAGACAAACTAAACACGGCCAAACAAGCCAAGGACCGTTCTTGGCGATCATGGCCTTGACGAGGAGTCTGCCAAAGAGTTGCCAGTTTGGCTCAGGGTTGACGAGTCAAAAGTGCAGCAAACATCATCTCCCTGCAGGCAATGGGTTCCACTGCGGGGGGGGGCGAGGGGCCGGGGGGATGCGAGTGTGGGGGGTTCACACTACAGGGTGGGGGGGACCATGCCGGTTACGGATCATTTCTCGAGCACTCCTGAAGCCGCACGCCGGGCTGCGTTCCGAAGGCTCCACGGACGGCCACATTTACAAGGGCCGCCACCTCCGGCGTCACGGAAACGAACAGGGTGACCAGAACTTCGCCGCCGGCCAGGTGGAGGAAGAGCCGCGCGCAGAAAAGGCGTCAGATCCACTCCAACGCACAGTTCTTCATCTGGACTGTCCGCACGCGGGGCGAAAGACGCCGGGCGGGCAGAACAGCCTCAAGAGGCGGGCAAGAAGACGCATGCGGGGCAACCGAACAGCGACCACGCCTCGCGAGCAGCTGGGCGGTACTCCAGTCCGCGCGCGTGGTGGCCCAGCGGCCTGTACCTTGGTATGCCCCAGGCGGAACTTCTCCGTTTCTAGCTCGATCACCTCCATGCAAATTTCGCATGCCTCCTTCTCCTCCTTGGCCGCCTTCATCTTCTTGGGCGCCAGGATCATGTAACTTTAAGAGAGCGCGCGTGCGTGTGAGGGTGAACGCCAAGGGTTGCTGACCGGGTGGGGCAGAGCTAGCGGACCTGAGGGGGGGGGGGGGGCACGAAGGGAGGAGGGCATTCCTGCTACCGCGTGCTCCTGCAGGAGTGCACACAAAGTACCGCGTCACAGGGCATGGGGAAGGGATCAACCGAGGTATATGGGTACAGTCCTAAACCCTACGGGCGTGCCATCTGGGGAACGAAGTGCTCGAGCGGCGCAGAGCGCTCGGAAAGCTGGGTGGGTGGCGGGCGACAGGCAGGTGTACGTGGCATATCAGCAGGCTTGGTCGGCTCCTCAGCTGACTAAGGGCTCGCTATCCGGTACCGGAACACTCCTGTAGGGTCGGGGTAAGAGGGGGCAGGGTGCATTCAGGGCGACACAGTCGTTCTCTCCCTCTCGTGCGATCCAGGAGCCACTGCCGAAGTGGGGTCATTCCGCGCGACCTGTGGGGTTCCGAGCAGCCTTGGGGGCATTCCGGGTCAGCCACTCCACCTTTGCTGCTTGGATGTACCGAGAGCAACGGCTGGTAGGGGAGGGGGGGGGGGGCGTCCGCATCCTCCGTATCATTCGCAGGGGTCTTGCGCAGTCTTGCGCAGTCTTGCGCAGTCTTGCGCAAGTGGTGACGTTATCGGGGTGACAGCAGCCGAGCTCGGTCGGCAGGGAGGGGGTGACGCGCCCAGCTACCTTCGTGTGGCCGAGGCGGAACTTCTCTGTGTCAAGCTCGACTTTCTCGAAACAGACGGCCGCCGCCTCTTTGTCCTCCTTCTCCTTCTTCATGGCGGCCGGCGCCAGGATCAGGTAGCTTCGGGAGGCCAGCAGAGGTCACCGGGCGGCCAGAGGGAATCGCGGGCACGTGCGCCACGAGGACGTGGGACACGTGCGGCTGCCACGCCTCAGCTCAATACGAGAGAGGGGTGGCTTCCTCGCCAAGCACACGCTAAGCGCACTCACCAACTCCGCCGCGTGGCAAGCGATGGGAGAGGGAGGATGGGCGGGTGCTGAACGGGGATGGATACGGGGGAAGGCGGAAATACCAAGCTACGATAAATCACAAAACCGCACAAAACGCACACCAGACTGCTACTTCTCGACCATAGGGCCGCTGCTCACGTACGCGAACATGCCGCCACACAGCTAATCCCAGAGCATCGAGACAGCTTCCAGGCGTTAGATGGATCAAACATACTACTTTTGGCCATGGGTATGGGCTGACCTTCGTGGGGTTTTGACCAAAGGGTGAACTGTCGTTTGATCTGCGCGCTGATTGTACTTCACGCCGAGATGGGAGGTTAGCTATTAGCGTAGCTGCATAATATATATATATATATATATATATATATATATATATATATATATATATATACGTATATATGCATATAAGCAATGGCAGCGCTGATATTGCCAAGGGATTTTTTCCCAGGCTCTCTCGCTGCTCTAGGTGAGATTCAATGCCGTTTTACACAAGGGAGCTGCATTTTTCATCTATCATCTAATCTCCTTAGTCTGCAAAGATGTTCTAGAGCCTAAGAAACTACCTCTGTTCCAAATACTATGGAAAGGCTCACGCGCCGCTTTTGCTAATATTCTTCCCTTATCTGACGAAAAACATAGTCGCTCCCACATAAACTCTTAAGGAAGCGCTAGCCTAAAGCGAACACTCAAGATCCCGTGCTGATTTTCTGGAGCCTGCGTGACTACGTGTATTCTAAGGTCTATGTAAAAGCTCACACATCAGCTATCTTAGCGTCTCCCCCTCGCTCACGTAGCTAAACCTAAATATTCTAAAATAAACTCTTAGCTGTCGCTAGAATAGCTTGATATGACTACCACACATTCTCCAGAACTGCATAATCTATAAATACACGCATCGCGTGCCAATAGTGGACATCGTTGCCTTAGTATGTCCTAGACGGTACAGCTCCTTATCCAACTGGATTTTTTCGAAGCAGGCAGCCGCCGCGTCCTGGTCCACCTTTTCCTTAGCCATCTCCTGAGCAGCCAGGATCTTGTACCTTGAGCAGCCAGCGGAAACTCTCACCACGCGGTCGTCAAGGTAAGTGGTGCGGGAATTCCCATGACTGGGGGGGGGGGGGGGGGGGGCGGTACAGGCGACTCCTGCATGACGGCTAGGCCGCAAACGCGGGCTCCGTCTCGCCGTCATCAGCTGTTGATATATGTGCTGCATGGGAGATCAGGTCAGGGAAGGGACGTGACACATAAAACTGCGACCCAAGGGAGCACAATACAGTATATACAGCGTGTGCCCAGCTGACGACGCTACACATGAACGTTCGGTGTTAATACACGCTCGTGGGCAGGGTCAGAACAACATCGAGAACAGAAACGGAGGGCCAGCACGACAGCAAGGAGCGCATTCAAGGGCAGAGTCGACTACTTCGCCGAGGGTGGCCCCCGCCGACATGGCTGCACGTGCCACCCGCGTTCCAAGTCGATAAAACTGCCGATACACTGCCGATAAAACCCGACTACGACGACTACGGGCCTGCTGACGACAGAGTTTTTGGTTATGGGATTCCGTCACAAGTGTCACGGAGGGCGATCAAAGGTCGTGACCTTGGTGTGACCCAGGCGGAACTTCTCCTGCTCCAGCTGGATCTTCTCAAAGCAGGCAGCGGCAGACTGTTTGTCTTCCTTCTCCTTCTCCATCTCCTTAGCGGCCAGAATCTTGTAACTGATGGCGGCGAAGGAACAGTGGAACTTCTCGCCCGTTGGATCTCATAACCCCACCGAGTGCGCAGTCTCCACCATCGATCACAATGACAGTCGGCGACATTCTCGGGAATGGGAGCCACTATCGGGAGCTAAGCGGGGATCAAACCAAGCCTCCAAGCCAGCCCTGGAAAAGTCACAGAGTCTTCAAGCTCCGGACACCACCAGCTTCAGCGCGTACATCATCCGGCAACTCCAAGGGGAAGCTGAAACCTGCCCGAAGCTGCTGCAGGACCTGCCAGCGGTCGCTGCTTGTGTTCAACGCAGACTTGTGAGAAGTGAGGAAGGCAGAGCAGTGACACGGCATGTTGTCGTCACGATGTTGTCAGCGACTTCAGCACTAGTTGAATGCAGTCAACGCGTTATGTCCTGTTACATTATGCATCGACGCTCGAGCATTGGCATTTGTTACAGCCTTTCATGATCTAGCAAAAAAGCATTGCGGCATTTCCCTTAAGCATTGAGCACATCTACTAGGGACACGCACTGATGGTGTGTGTCTCCGTGCAGGTGTCATATCCATGTGGCATGTTCATATGCCACATGTACGTATCATATATATGTACCATATTCCTGGATCATGTCTGTGTGCTATGACATAATACTAGCATGGCTGTAGCGTCCTCTTTTGACATGTCTATATGTTATGTCCGTCTGCAATATGCGATGTACCCCGTGCACGTATCCATGTGTCAACATGTTCACGCTTGCACATGTTCACGTGTCCATCGCGTGCTCTGCCACGTACCGGTGCTTGAAGTCAGAGTACACCATCCTGTTGGGGAAGCCCTTGCGGCAAATACGGATGCCTTCAAGCACACCGTTGCAGGTCAGCTGGTGCATCACCAGGTGGGAGTCGATCACACCTGGCGGCCGGCGGAGTGACGTCAGAGCAGTGGTGACGATCGTGGCGCTTTGTCGGTCTTTGAGCGGCCACGCGCCTTCTTAAAGTCTGCATCCCCGCTGAATGAGAAAACTGCGAAAACACGCTAAGGACTCGCGTTTTACTGCCGATGTCAGCTTGGGCCCACGGACCACGTCTGGCTCGAGGTTTGACCGTGCGCGCAATCTAAAGCTGATGATGTCCTCAACATGGCTGCAACAAATGCCGCACGCACCTGTCTGCTTGAACTCGTTGGGGATGATGCAGCGGATGAAGTGGGGCTGAGTGCTGTTCAGGGTCTTCATGAGGCCGTTGAGCTGCTCCTGTGAACGCGGCCCGAGGGTCATCCATGGCCTTCGGCCGGCAACGGCGAGACGCCGGTCACACACCCAGTCAGAGACAGCGGCGGATCCAGGTATGTCTTGGGAGAGAGCTTTGCTCGGGGTGTGGGAATTTTCCACCAAATGGTTTCCCGATAGTGGCAATCATCCCTCTGCTTTAACCAGCTGGTCAGGAGATAAATGCCGTTTTTGCTCGATGTATTTTTAATCTCTCAAATAACCGGCCAAGGGTTGAAAATTTTCTTGCTCCCATAATTTTTTACCCTGGATCCGCCGATGTCAGCAGAACCCGGAAGGCGACAGAACGCTCGACGGCAGACATCAATAGGTAGGGAGATGGCGGGTGACGTCACACAAAAGCGCCAGCAAAAGCACTTGATGAATCGCGAACAGAGCTAGCTGTAAAAAAGCGAAGCTGCATTGAACGAGTTTTTCCAAAGACAAGCTCCGAGGAAAGCATAGAACATGTGAAAGCTAATGCTTTGCAGAGGCTGTGATACAGAAAGCCACAGAGCAGATGAAAGCTGTCTGCATCCCGGGGATATCCGAACGGTTGGATGGCGAAACAGAATAGGATGGATCGTCATTGGGTGGTACGAAGGCGTTGCTGATTGGATTGGCTGTCGGGAAGCCCACCACTGATTGGAAGGTATGCAAAGGAAAACGCTTGTGATTGGGCGGACCGTGACTCGAGGTCACCGATTGGGCCAGCAGCGGATGCAAGACAGTTGATTGGACAGACATAGCCAGCCGGCATTTAACACCGCCTGCGCGTTAATGCAGGTTGGCGCGGCGTGCGATCACCTACAGACGACGGTCAAAGCACTGAGGTACGCTCACAAAACAGCAACACATCTGCAAGCCTTGCACAGTTCCGGGCCAAAACTAAGCGCAGGTTTGCTTCGACTACCAGCGTAGGCCAATGGCTTCGAGTACTCTAAGGCGTAGGCAGGCAGAGGGTGGTGCGGGGCAGCGCAAGGCAAGCACGGTGTCTCGAAACAGCCCGGGGTGTGTGGGGCGCCCACTACATGTTCAGGAACAAGGGACGTCCGAGCGATACGCACGACTCCACCAACAAATCAGATCACAATGCATGCCCGGGTGTCCCAAGTGACCAGCTTCTCAACGCCTGCGGGGTCACAGTCGTCCATGCCATGTTCAATCTGTCACTGCACCGGTCAGGGCGAGTTCGGGGGAGGGGCGGGGGTCAACTGTGCAGATGCCGCCTTCTCCTCCGCCGCTAAACCTCGCCTGAAATGGGGATAAAGGGCGCGGGCCGGGGACAAGCACCGCCAACCGAAGGGTCATTCTGCTATATGTGGTGGACGTGCGGTGTTCGCTCTGCTGCGTGGTGGGTGCACGTGCGACTGGCGTGCACCTAGTGCTGGACCAAATGGTCGGCGCATACCCTGTACGAGGAGGACACGGTGGCAAAGCCGGCACCCTTCTTCCGGCCGCCTGGGGTGGAGAACGGCGCAGGTTAGCTGGCGCGATGACACGGCACGCATGGGGAGCCGCCGCAGCCGGAGCCGGAGTCGGCTGCGGCGGCTCCCGTCTGGAGAGATCCACGCTGATGGGGTGATGAGGGGAGAGAAGGATGCGTCGTTGCTGACTTTGCAGTGCCGTTGGTGTCGAACAGGGGATTTCCGATAGATTTTGATCTGTTTCACGCCAAGGGAATGAATTTCATAAAAATAAACTTCAATGAGAATAATTTGACCGAAATGGTCATGATTCTTGCAAACTCCCGCGCGAGGTCGCGGCAAGAAGCTGAAAAAGCCGGTGGCGAGGCCCGAACCCGTGACCTGTCCGTCACGATCCTGAGCACCGCCCGCCGTGGCACGGACCCACATTTTGACCATATTTAGCAGGGTCCTCGGTTGTGCGGGAGACCAATTTTCCCGTCAGGTGGATCTCTCCAGACAACAGAGCACGAGTCACAATGGTATTTACCTTGTACATGTTCGACACGGTTTGGAATCCGGAACCCTTTTGGCGCTTTCCGCCTGTGATTAAGATGACGTCAGACACACAGTCACAGGTGCTGTTGTGAACGGATATGTAAGCATTCATGTCATCGAACTACCGTGACAGAACAGCATTGGCAACTAGGGATAATACTCATCATTTATACCTGAATCTCAGATTGGTTCAACAAGCTACGGTTTGTACTGCACTGATGATAACAATGCTAAACAGGCACACTGAGAAACCTACACCGCCAGCGACGTTGGAAATGGAAAACCTGGTGAAGTCCTAACCTAAACTGCATGCATGCGTAAGCTCTGGTGTGGCATGCTTCGTTTAAAATACAGGAGCATCGCTGTGTTCGCTTGTGTCTTTGCAAGCGCTATGTCCGCTGATGCTAAGTCCTCGTCTCTGGAGCACAGGATTTCTAGTCGGTCCCTTGTGTCACCGTTGACCCCGTGTTTCGCAATGCCCCGACTTTGCCATCCCCCTGACCTCCCCCGTTAAGCCCCGCTTTACCGATACGTCGCCATACCTCCCGCTCTGCTGCACCTTACCACCTTACCACCATACCACCACCACCATACTACCATACCACCACCACCATACCACCCGCAAAACGTCAAGACCCTGTGAACCCACACGCCATCAAACCTAGCGGGAGCATGGCGTAGCTTCTGTCGTACTCCGCCACACGTTGCACCCAGCCCGCTCCCCTATCACCCGAACCCCGAGAGTCCCGTGCCCGTGGGTGTAACCACCGTTCTGATATTGGGGGGAACAAAGCTCGATTTGGGTAAAAATGGAATCTGGAAAGTACAAGTTGACTTCGGTATGACATTTTCAATAGACAACGTGAGAGCCACGCATTTTTATGAGCCAAAGAGGGGAGGCAAAAAATTACTTCACGAAAACTGGAGGGCACAAGTCTCGCCCACCGCCCAGCGGTTACAGCCATCCAGTGCGGGCGAAAGCGCGTCGCCCCGGGCGTCCTCGGGCTCACCCTTGCCGCCGCCAGCCTCAGCTGGAGCCGACTGGCCAGGGTGGTCGGCGAAGATCTCCACGGCCAGTGCGTTGGCGCCCTTCTTGAACTGGTCGACGACCGTGTCGTTCAGCGGGTCCTTGTTCTTCTCCAGCCAGCCCGTGATGTTGTATGCCACCTGCCGGGAGAAGGGTGCAGCTTGTTTGGACGAAGATTGACTGCGCACAGATTGGCTACAAGAACGCTTGCTGTGCGAAGACTCATCGCACGAAAATTACGTGTACTAAGATTGACTGTGCGAAGATTGAATGTGCGAAGATTGTTTGTGCAAAGATTGACTGCTCCAGGATCATTTGTGTGGAAATAAGTTGTGCCGAGACCGAGCTTCGCGGAGGCAGAGATGTCAAAGCCTTATCGTCCGGCCGGTATCTAGCTGGCAGCGCGTGCGACGTGCAGGCTGACTATGATCATCGCGTGCAAACACGAAGGTCATTAACCCCACCCCCGCCTTTCGAGTGGAAACCGGGGACAGTGGAGCTTCTTAGTGCTGGGATTGAATGGCGCAGATTCGGTAGCGCACCCAATCAAAAGACTGACCACTATGACAGGAGTGTGTGTCCGGAACATTTGCTTATAACTTATGCCATCAGCGAATCCAGTAGCTCATGTGAGTGATCTTCCGTCCTCTTCCTCCATCATCCGGGCGCTGACTCACCGTTCCAGCGTAGTGGACAATGGCGAAGTGGGCCTCCTTCTGGCCCGGCTTGGGGGGCTTCGGCTTGATGAAGCAGGACGACTTGCCCAGGTGGTTGTTCTTCAGCTTCTCCTCGAACGACTTGTCGGTGGCCTTGGGGAACATGCTCTCCTCCTCCAGGATGGAGAGCACGCCCATGGGCTGCCGAGCGGGGCTATGTCATGACACCGCGCTGAGCTAGCAGTCGGGCGCTTAGCTCAGCTTGTGAGCCAAGCGCTCAAAAGCCTCGCTGCTGGCGAGCTTTGAAAACAGCTCGATGACCTGGATAGCTCCCGTCAGGGGCGCTAGGCCCGAGGACGGAGCAAAAGAGCAGAGCTGTTTGATACCCTTAAGACTTCAGCTGTTGGGATTTTGCAGATATGTGCGGGGCAACAGCGAGGCTTTTGAGCGATGCACGGATAGAGCGACAGTACACGATGGGATTGTTTTACTTGCAAATATGACATTACGGACTTGCGCTAAAGACTCGTAATATTTTCTTGATCGCACGAGCCGAACCACATAGCACTCACGCACCTCTCACTATTTGATAGACCGTCCGAACGATATTTTCTAGACGAAGAGACCATTGCCTGTATACATGCCTGCATATGCGCAAATAACATGTTGATACATTTCGGTAGGCGACAGTACACTTAACGATCGTCAAAATTAGTGTTCATTTGTAGTGACGAGCATGCAATCGAAGATCACCATGCGAGTGCCAAGCTTGGCCCGAAACATGCAATGACATCGAAACATCGAATCGACATCGACAATCGACAATCGAATCGACATCGAAGCCTCCCGATCGACGCAGCCATTCAGATCCTCTTCGCGTCGCCCGAAAGCTCTCGTCAGCCGTCCACGCAGTGCCACCTATCGGCGCGCTTCAGAACTGAGGGTCGGCGGACGGCGGGCCGAGACCCTTTAGCACTGACCGCGCGCCTACCAAGGCTGGGGCGTCGGCCGGCCATCGGCGGTCTGGGCCGAATTGGTGCCTCTGTTAACACCACTGGTGTCGTGCGCAGAGAGCCGCACCACAGTCAGCTGCTGCCAGTGGTGCCGGTTCTGAGCTGGAGCGAAGTTCGCACGGCTCACACCAGTGGTGCCATTTGCAACCACCGACTGGCTTTGAGTCATTGGTCTTCGGGAGTAGCATGTGCTAGAGACAAGCCATCGACGGCAAGGCCCATCCGTTGAGCCCACGGTGCGATGGAGTAGCTCGCTGAGCTTACGCTCGTTACGCTTAAGCTCGTTACGCCCGTCAGACGTCGCTCGCCAGCGACATAGTTTCAGTCATTAGCTTTCAGTCACAGAAGCTTGTAGTGAGCTGAAACCTTTCACGGAAACCCTGTCCTGCACATGTGCAAGCTGTGTATCATCCAGAGTCAGTGGAGTCTTGGATTATTGGAAAATGGAACTGTGCTGTTTTGAGTAAAAAATGTAGATTTTAGCCGTCCAGCAATGCTTATTGGAGCAAACGTGATTTCTGCTTCCGCACGCCGACTGCCGTCAGGCCAAAAGTGAGGCGAGTGAAAGAAGCGCAAAAAATGAACAATTTATGCACTTGAGTCGCTGTAGTGTCTTCCATTCTTATTGTTGTCGAGTATTTGCTGATATCAACAAAGACACCACAACATCTGATGCAGCTCTACGACTGATATGAAGACTGCCACCAGGATAGACGGAGCCACAGACAGACCGGAAGACCAGGCATGCGAACAGACCACCCAGACCATCCCAGGCCAGCGCGTACCTTTTCCATCAGCTCAATGCAAGCCTGCAGATCCATACCAAAGTCCACAAACGTCCAGTTAATGCCTTCACGCTTGTACTCTTCTTGCTCAAGTACGAACATGTGGTGGTTAAAGAACTGCTGCAGCTTCTCGTTGGTGAAGTTGATGCACAACTGCTCGAAGCCGTTGAACTAGAAAAGAGTGTCGCTCTGTTGGGAAGTGTTCTGAGCCCTTTCCTGTTGAGCCAGAGGGGTGCCAACGGGCGGGGGAGGGGGGGGGGGGTACACTCTGATGGGCACGATCGGCGGGGCGGGTACACTCAGTGCGGGAGATACACCCGGCGGTGGGGGGTGCAGCTAGGTGGGTGCTCCATCAACAAGACGTGCAGCAAGTTGACGAGCTGTAACGGGAGGGAGAGTAATGCCTTCTCCGACAGCCGCTTCGGGCGTCATCTGTGGGAGGAGGGGGGCGTGCCTGGACGGGGGGGGGGGGCTGGTTGTAACGTCGGTTACCGACCAGCGCTAGGCCGTGGGGGGGACAAGCAGGGACATCTGGTGTCGAGCAGGGAAAGCACGGCGAAGAATCAGCCGCGTCAGCTTTTCCTGGAAAGGAGAGCTCAAGCAGCGTCCTCTCTCTCGGGGCGGAGTTTTTCAAACGCAGCAAACCGTCGGGGTATGAAGTCTGTGAGGGGGCTCTGGTGGTTTGTGGTTCGAGGGTCTGGTGAGCGTGGGTGCGGAAGCGGGGGGGGGGGGTCTGCGACACATTCGCCGGAGTTTTTCCCACGGCAGCAACGGCTTCCTCGGCCCCACAGGCGGTGAGGGTCGGCCGGCGAGCCAGGCCACGTCCAAACGTCCACAGCGCGCAGCCGGTCAGCCATGGTGAAGGGAGGGGAGAGGGGGAAGGTGGAGGCGGGGCGAACACTCCGAGGCATGAACGTGCAGGAACGTTTCTTGGAGTGTTGGGAAGTTTCGGCGTGCAGATGCGGTGTTCAGTGAGCGGGAGGGATGCAGGGGCATATGCTCTGTCGTCCAGGACAGAGACACGCATGCCAGGGGTAGCGCGTGGCTGGAGTGTCCGCGAGCGGGCGCCTGTCGGAGTGCCCACGAGCAGAAGAGTGCCGAGTCTTCTGGAAAACGCCCTTCAGCGACCGCCGAACCGACGGAGCGATGACGCCTTCGGAATAGGTCCGCACGGCTGAAACGGGTTCCCCGGATGGCGACTCGAATAGTGACCGTGTCACGGGCAGGCCAGGCCGGCCTGCGGGGGGGGGGGGGGCGGGGAGTCACAACCTGAGGCTCACTCGTGCCAGAGCGGGAGGCGGGGAGTCAGCACAGGTTGGGAGGCGGGAGGCAGGGCGCAAATACGTCGCCCGGGGACATTACGAGAGGGGCCAATGAAAAGAAAGAAAAGAAGCCACTGAATGAAACTGATGATAAGCGTGACGTCTGGTAATGGAAGGACGAAAAGGCAAAAGCAGGATTAAAATATGTTGCCCCTTATCGGCAACTTACTGGCCCTGACAGGCACTTGATGCGAACGGGTGTAAGCGGGTCGAAAGACCACGCACCACTCGCAGGCTGGCAACAGCAACGCAAATTTAGCGGGGTAAGCCAGGGGCTCGGCGGAGGGAGATAAACATCTTCAAGAAGCTTCCTCTCCAGGTGTGGAGGGAAGGGGCGCCAATGGGCAGAGCGCACGGCACGAGCCACGCCGGTTACCTTTTCCATCAGCTCAATGCAAGCGGCAAGATCCATCCCAAAGTCGACAAAGATCCAGTTGATACCCTCCTTTTTGTACTCCTCTTGCTCAAGGACGAACATGTGGTGGTTAAAGAACTGCTGCAGCTTCTCGTTGGTGAAGTTGATGCACAACTGCTCGAAGCCGTTGTACTAGAACATGCGAGCCCACGTGTTAGCGGCTACAGACAAGCACAGAGTGATACGTGCCGACTGAGTTGCTATTAACATAGACTGATATGAGTTTTGTTACAGTGCATGCGACTTTGACCGTGTCCATTTCTCACGAAAACACACGAACGGGTTCCGTCCTTGGAGGAGAAGCAGCCACTGCCAGTAGAGGTCATTTCCAACGGTATGGCGAGGCGTTGGATATCATGATACGTTATTATATTGCCAAACCAGCTGCCGCCCACAAAATGCTGAATATTCTTCCAGGGTAATCCGGATCAAACCCAGCCAGTGACGGATTTTCAGCTTTAGACACTTCTGAACATAGTAAGTTGACGTCATCTGTCTGGTGAAGTTCTCATGTGATCTGAATTAATTTCGTGTCCGATCTGGCGGGATTTGACGCGTGGTTGAGCTTCACTGACTCATGCGTCAGTGGAGACCGACCAGCGAGCTCATGGCTGTGGCTGTTTCTCTGCACGATTATCCTCTAGTTGTCCGTTAGATCTACGACCAGACACGGTCACTAGACTATGACGTCACGACCTACGTGACGTCATGATACAAAAACCACAAACACCGTTCCCCGGTCCACAGACGAATATCCACGACGCATGCCTGTCCACGCTGCCACCGAACACCGAACCGGTCGGAGATCTGGCAACCGGCCGGTGTCGGCTGGCAACAAATCATTATGTACCACAGCATGCGTGCTGTTAGCGCTAGAAGATGGCCGGCTAGATGCGGCTAATCCTGGAGCTGGAACCCCGTGAAAGTTACCTTTTCCATCAGCTCAATACAAGCTTGCAGATCCATTCCGAAATCGACAAACACCCAGTTAATGCCCTCGCGTTTGTACTCTTCTTGCTCAAGAACGAACATGTGGTGGTTAAAGAACTGCTGCAGCTTCTCGTTGGTGAAGTTGATACACAGTTGCTCGAAGCCGTTGTACTGGTAGTGGTAGAATGCGGGTATCTCGTTAGCGTTGGGGCTCGTCCGTGACTGTGATCACGGGACGAGGGGTGGGGGGGGGGGGGGCAGAGGGGGCGATAAGACGGGGGGGGGGCGACGCCAGTCATCATCGTTGCGCAGAACACCGCTGGCGGCATGTCAGGGGGGCCGTCTTGGCTGGAGGGTGCTGTGGAGCGATTTCGGTTATCCAGTTGACCACGTGTGTTAGGGGATTCATGACAAACATCGCATTGCGTCCCTCGGGGAGTAGGCTACGGAGGGTGTGATTCATCCGGAACCCCTACCAATGTGCTCACATATCAGCCGTGGGGGAGAGAATACACGGAGGGTGAATATGGCAGCAGGAAAGTGCAGTACATCACAAATAGTCAAACGTTTTGAAAAGTCACGTCTCTAAGACACGCGTCATAGATGGCCATGAACAGTGTCCTTCTCATCATAATCATATACGAGCCACGGTTTAACCACGTGGCATACTTATACCGTGGGAGAGCCAACGATTCGTGGCTGAACAATCCAGCACACTGCAAGTGACCGGTCAAGACTGGGCAAGGCCACAACAGCACAGAGCTAGACTGAAGTGAGTAACGGAAAACTTAGACAGATATCCAAAAAGCTCGCTCTTAAACGCATTCGGCCGCCGCCTATTATGACGAACTCACGTCGAAGATCTCAAAGCCGGCGATGTCCAGCACACCGATGAAGTGAGCGCGCTTCTGTTTGGTGTCCAGCGTCACGTTCACCTTCTTCACCAGCCACTTGAAGAGCCTGTCGAACATGGCCTTGGCCATGGCGCCGACCGAGTAGTACACCTGGTGGGAGGTCATGAGCGTCAGTGCAGGTTCGCACAGGTTCGGGTGGCGATCCATGTCAGCATGTCATGTCACCTATGTCAAGTGAGCTCCTTTCAAGCTAGCTTAGATCAGTTGAGGACAATCCATGTCTGATTAGGCTTGGTCAGACCAGAATAGATAAGTACAGGCCTGTTTAAAACAGCTTGTCCCTTATGTCTCTTCATTTTTGCTAGGGTTCCGCAATTCTGCAGAAGTGCATTCAGTTACTACAGGCCAGCTCATTTAAGTTGATCCAAGTTTGACTCTCTCAGCGTCATATTTTCATCATTACCACGCAACCGTCATCATCGTCATCTTCACCATCAACATGATCGTAATCGTCACCAAACGTCCCGAACTCACCTGGTCCTTGTTGCGGCCCTGGGTGACGAACTCGTTGCCGACCTTGATCTTGGGCTTCAGCAGGTTGGTGTACAGCATCGCGCCGTCGACGCCGATCAGCTTGGCGACACGCTCACCCTCCTGCGTCACGTCACACGTCACAGTTTATCAGCACGTGACGTCACGATGGTTCGACGATAACGCACGCACGCAGTGAGCTTCCGTGACTGCATGTCTGAGTCCAACGCGCATGTAGACCGAGCGCAAAGATATGACCAGCGATGAAGGGTCCGTTACTACTGAGACGCAGTCGCTCCCGCAGCACACGTTGATACGAGCTGTGGGAAGCCAAAAAGAAATAAACAGGACAGAAAGGAGGAGAAAGAAAAGGACTCAACAATATGATGGAAAAGAAAGAAACACCGACTAGAGTGAAAGGAATATGCCACGGAAAACGTAAAAAATAGAAGCGAGAAAAAGCGATAAATAAAAGGCAAAAGAGCAAACAAAATGGCTGACCACGTACCGCGGTGCCGTCCGCCTCAGCCTGCTCCTCGCGTCCCTTCTGCTTGAACTTCATTTCGCCGATGTGCATGACAGCGGCGGTGATCTTGTAAATATTATGCTTCTCCTCCTGGTTGAACTGGAGCACGTCGAAGGCCGTCTGCAGCGGCAGAGTGGAGTGAGTATCGTACGCAGGGGCGGCAGAAAGGGGCTCCGTCTGGGACGCAGGGGCGGCACAGGAGGCGCGGATATTTGTCAAATCCATTTGGGGCGGGGCGAAGGGAGGCAGTGCATAAATTTTGAGCATACGCAGTGCTCGCTACTTTTTGTTTGAGCGGTTTCTTTTTGGGGGATTAGCTGAGTCTTCTGTGCGGGTTGTGTGAGGGGGAGATGGATATAGGGGCGGAGGCCTGCTTAAAAGATACGCAGCTCTACGGATCGGCTGAGTGCATGCTTTCCAGACACATGGGCCACGGGGCAAACATTGGGTGGAATCATCAAGCGCATCGCTGAGGCAGCCATGCTGTCCCACATTCCACCGCCCTTCCTAAGGGCAAATCTGGCAATGCTTCGAAAAATCAAACGGCATCTCTTCCAAACGTTGACTGGCTGTCTTTTCTCAGCACAGTGTGACGAAGCTTGCTACTCGCTTTCATCTATGCATCGCATCGATGCGCGTCGCACACATGTTGGGATGAGACGGCTGTGTGGCGCGCAAGAAAATATCAGGGACATTGTTAAAACCACTTCAAAAGCATTGAAGCCGTGCTCGTGAGATATGACGTATATTTGGGCCAAGTACGCACCTGGATTGTACATAATCTAACTAATATCGTAAGATCGTGGTTATGAAAGTAGTAGTGCAGCCACATACGCGCACACACACACACACACACACACACACACACACACACACACACACACACACACACACACACACACACACACACACACACACACACACACACACACACACACACGCACACACAGCTCAGGAGGACAATGCGTGCACATCACAGTGATAACACGCTTCGGTGGCGAATACAGCTCACCTATTGAAGCCATTTCAGACAGGTAATGCTACAACAAAAAATTATGAGTAAAGACTCAACATACTCACCTGGTGACATTCGTAAGTGAAACGATTACCAAGGTAGATATAAGTCACAACAAGGTGTGAGATAGGTTAGCTGGTAAGCCAACTGGTTAAAGGCAGGCTGGTTGTCAGACAAGTTAGCAGGTGTGGGTGAGCACATTTGTAGCAAAGCATTGCCTCCTGATGATATCTAATACCAGTATGTCTACCAAAATGTCTACCATAATTTCTACCCTAATGTCTACCATAATCTCTACCATAATTTCTACCATAATGTCTACCATCATATCATATCTACCATGCCCATGTCTACCATAGCCATGCCCGTCATAGAACATTTCGAACTACAAGGCGTGAAATCATTCCTGTGTACACAAGTTGGACCGAAGATATCCCAAAGACGCCGAGGACATAAAGGCAAGGCACTGAGACTTTCTCTTTCCAGAAAACAAGACCAGCTTGTAAGCCACAGTTGTATAGTCCCGATAGGCTTCAGTTGGTCTCAAGTAAAGCAAGTCCCCCATAATGGTACCAGCAGTCCTTGACAGCAGCTTTCTTGATGGGCAGCAGAGGTAGATTTTGAAATTTTGCTTATTGTTGCTTTCTTCCTCACGCCATTGCATTTATTTATCGCGGATCACACCAACCGGAAGTAGCGGATCCGGGCCGCGGGCGCACGGGTCAAATCCATGAATCAGACGAACTATTCCGAAAAGTGGGAATACTTCTCGACCGATTAAGCTTAACTATCTAAGCTATCTCTAAGATATCTCTCTAAGCTAAGCTATCTGCCATCCTGTGCGGTAATTCAAAAGGACATGGCTCAGCTCTGCATAGAGTCTGTACAGAGCTGAGCTGAGCTAAGCAGCCCCTCCGAACAACAGCTGGCAGAGCATCACGTAATGCTGCTCCGCAGCGACAGCATATTAACAGGCTTGACGATGTGTTGAACCCATTGTGATCTTGTTTACGCTGTCTAACTGAAGCATTACGTGATTGTTCCCGAACGCGATTGGTGCTGTGGTATGAGTACCGCAGCCCACGTGTGATGTTTTTTTCGTGAAGCCATGCGCTTTAATAGCGGCAGTTTCTATATTGCGAGCCTCCAGACCAACAGCTTAAGGTCCTTAAATGAAGCCGACGGTGAGTGAGCGAAAAGTTTTAATTACTTCTCGACCTCTAAGCAAACTCGGATGCAGCCGCAAAAAAGACCATCAAGTAACGATGCACGAAAGGCTCTCGAACTGACGCAAAATTTATGAAACATTGGCGACGAATATTAAATGACGAGACAATAGCGAATGGCAAATGACGCGTGACGAACAATTGGCATGCTGCCCTGCGGTTGACTGAAAGCAATCGACAGATGCGAGATCGGGATTAAAAAAGCAATTGACCGATGCGAGATCGAGTTTGAGAGTTCAATTGACGGATGCGAGATCGAGTTTGAAAGATCAATTGACGGATGCGAGATCGAGTTCGAAAGATCTATTTACGGATGCGAGATCGAGTTTGAAAGATCAATTTACGAATGCGAGATCGAGTTTGAAAGATATATTTACGGATGCGAGATAGAGTTTGAAAGATCCATTGCGGATGCGAGATCGAGTTTGAAAGATCCATTGACGGATGCGAGATCGTAGCGTGCCATCTACACCCAGGTGTTCAGCTCTGCGTGGCAGAGGTACGCGCCCGCCAGCCATGCCACTGTTTCCTGAGGCGCTCGCGCTGTCGTCTCTCCCCCCCCCCCCCCTTGCCGCGCGCTCGCGTCCGTCAGCGAGGCCTTCTTACTGTCGCGCACGAGTCGGGAGTGGACGATTTGCACTGCGGCGGTATCGCTGTTTGTACGCATCGTCACTCAGGACGTATCGCCTAAGGAGTCACCTTGAGCGGGCTGGCGCGAAAGGCTGGTGACGATTGATCTCTGGGACCAGGAGAACAGGAGAGAGAGAGAGAGAATAGGAGATCTCTGGGACCAGGAGAACCAGGTGATACAGGGTGTTCAGTTCTGGGGGGGGGGGGGGGATGACGGCAGGGACGCCGTTTTGTGTAAATGGTTGGGGTAGGGACGGGCCCAGGGTCTGTCAACTGGACCTCCCTCTGAATACGTGTTTTCAGGGAATTCAGCCCACTTTATTTTGATGAATGGCCCTTTCTGTCTTATTTTTGTATCATTTCTAAGAGACATTTAATTTAGCAGCATAACTGTCGCGGCCATGAAGTAATGACCTCAGAAGCAAGTGTACACGATGATTCACCTTTCTATATTTCAATATTCCTGGAAAAATATTGTGACCGCAGATCAACATTATCGGCCCCCAAACAAATATGGGAGAGACAGGGCTCTTACACAATAATATAGATTACTACCCCTGGATGAGAAGATACTGGTGAGACAACAGATAAAACGTAAGGGTAATCGTATGTGGGTGGCAACAATTACAGCGGTGAGCTTAGCATAAGACAAAGCCTGCAGTCGCGGTGGAGTGCTTTGCCAAACTTGCGTGAGATAGAGAGGAGAGGTCACAAGGTCATTTGAACAATGCCAGCCTGTCGCCGAGGGTGGCGCGCGTCAGCGACCGCTTCTAAACGACCACCAGGCGGCGGAGAGGGGGAGCAGGCGGAGGAACACAACCCGGACCGGAAGTCGCACCAGGCGTCTGCTGCGAGGACAGTATGTCCTCACACGCGCCTTCGACGACCGACGGATGGGGCGGGAGGAGGTGACTACCGACGCCCGTGTCGTCTCAGATGACACTCGGAAGGTGCGCTGCATGCGGTGGAGCGGCGACGGCCGCCGCCGGCGTGCGGCAGTGCTCCGCTAGGCTGTCTACCCCGCCCTCCGTCTGGGCGCTAACAACACACCATCTAACAGATCCGCGATCGCACTAGGGGCCTTACATCAGTGAATGTCATCTCCTCGCCGTCGTCGACGCCCGGAATAGACGTTTTGCCCTGCGATACGTAGTGGTAGTCGTGGATGTCATTACTCAGGATCGCCAGCTCTGAGGGGTGGTCGGAGGCAGCGTTACCTCGAGGCGAGCGGCGCCCACGCCGGCGGAGAGCGGGGAGATGCAAGCGACAGCGGCAGATGTTGTGGGAGCGACAGAAGAGCGGCGCGGGGGAGAAGCGGCGGCGGTGGTCGTTGTGAGGAGTGTCAGTTGACAGCACGGGAGGAGGGGGGCAACAGGCCGGGCATAGCACTGGCCAGGAGGCTTAAGCCAGCGAAAAACAAGAGCAGGCAGCCTGCACACTGTTCGTGACCGCAGGCCCGGGACCGCCTACCGCCGACCGTCCACCGCCGACTGGCGGCGCGACCTTCGTACCCGGATCACAAACACGTGCCGGCGGACCGGGGGGAGAGAGAGACAGCAGTGGACGGCGTTGGAGACGACCACGTGGATAAGGTGGACAAGCGGTGGACAAGCGGAACAGCGAGATGAGCTTGACGCGAGTAGTGCCGGGGATCATCGGGAGGGCGACGGTTCAGCGTGGCAGCACTGCCACACGTCAGGCTGAAGATTGGGCGGGAGGCAAAGTCTGGACGCTTCCACGGGTTGAGCAGCCCCATGGACCCTCACACAGAATGGGTAGCAGATTGGATAGGGCCTATATTTTTGAAACGTCAGGGTATGGGTGTGAATGTGGGCAAATACTCAAGAAACGTCTGGTAGATGATTCAAGGAGCATCATAAAATATTACTGGTAATGCCTATTGCAGTCATTATTAACTGGTCTCCAATGACTTCTGCATCTTTCAAAGCAGAACTAGCGAGCCTGTATACAACGTCTCATAATACATACTTTAGAACCAAGTATAAAACCTAAAAGGGAAAGGGAAAACAGGAGTGTGGTGATTGGGCGAGCCTGACTAGGGTCGTGAAGTGAGTGGATACGGTTAAGATAGCGTGGGCAGCGGGTAAATTGCACACACAAAATCCAGCGGTGATAGCCTCCAGCATAAAACCGTAACAAGTGGCGGGGGAACAGACCGTGGGCGGGCGAGACAGTCACATCGCAGTCACGGGGGCAGATCCCAATGGCAGGGGTCGCCGGGCGACGCAAGCACGCGAGCGAGGCAAAAATCGGACCGCACAATGATGCACCAGCATGGCATGGCGGCGGCGGCGGCCAAAGCTGACACAATGCGGGGGGGGGGGACGGAGTCGGCCGAGGTCAGACAAGCGGAGAGGAAGCCCAGCTGTGAACAGAGCTGTTAGCTTGGAGCCCAACGCAGCCGGGTCACACGCCGCCGATAACATGTCGGGGCAACGAGAGAAGGCCGCAGGCGCTCCACACAAGCTTCGCTCCAATGTGTCTTTTGTCGAAGGTCTCAGTCGTGGCTATCTGCGTTGTTGCTAGTGAGGACAACCGCTTCATTTGCTTTCAATGATAAGGATCCTAGCCATTCTGATTCGTGTATCCTAGCCATCATACCTCGTGTCCACTACCCTTCGTCTTAATGGATATGTCTCGCTTCAGCGGGCATGTCCCAAATCGCCGGATGCATATCCGCCTTCTTTGTTGGTCTCCAGCCGCACAGGCCCAGCCCTCAGGCAATTCCAACACGCGCCGTTTGCGCAGGCGGTGATTACTTTGCCCAGAACCTAGCGGGCCTGTTAGCAATCTTACGATGTTGACAGATCATCGTGGCGGGACGCATGGGGTACAAGGGTGCTGACGGACAGGGGGGAGACGGCACTCGCAGGGGCGGCAGCCTGGCCCCCCGGCTCGGAGGCCGAACTCACGTCCGTGAACGTCATCTCCTCTCCGTCATCCACGTTGGGGATGGTGGTCTTGCCCTGGCTCACGAAGTGGTACTCCTTGATATCATCACCCAAAAGGCACATGGCTGCGCGGGCATAGACGCCGGTCGGTCAGGTGGTGACTGGGCGCGCAGGGCGAATGTGACGGGGGCCGCAAATGTCGCGGCTTTGAGCCGAGCGTGAGGACGCTGATCGCTTGCTTCAAGGGCATGCGCAGGACTTCACATGGTGCACAACTAAAATATGTCTACCGCAACGCGAGTTAGGCGCGCCTCAGGCACGCGCACTTTATTGCGTGTCGTAAAGCGATGTCGCATGTTTTCGATCCTCTTCTTTTAACCCGTTTACCTGAAATTTTCATTATCGACATTTAGCCACGTACGTATTTAAGTATGCAATACATTTGGCAAGGGTTCAGAGGCACGCTCCCCGAGGATTACTGTGAGCCCACGCGCCGGCTTGGTTGCGGAAAACGAGTGCAAGTGAATGGTGTGTTGTGACCAAGCCCCCTCTGTCACTAAGTTCAACCGCCGTCATTAGCTTGAGTGGACAGAACGCGTGAACACGCTGATCGAATCACACCACAACTTCTGCCCTTTGTTCCTGGGTTAACGAACTCAAATAGATTATTCACGGATCGCCAATGCGCGAATATGTATTGAATGTCGCCGCTTTGAATCAAGCGCACCGCAGGTGGAGTATCTGATCGCGTGTCTCCCTCATCGACAGACAGACGGTAGCCGATGTGCAAGCGCAAGGGCCTGCGTCACAAAAACATTCGATGAGACGAGCTTCCGTCGTGACGCGCCTGGATCACGTGTCATCACGCACAGATATGACGTCAAACGGCACCGCCACACTCCGCCTGAAACCAACACTCCTCAGCGGTCCCAACTCCCACTCCGCGCCTGAGAACCAGGAGCTCGTCAACGGCGGCTCGTGCCGCGGGCCTGAACACCCGCCCCGCACACAACAGCTCGCTGACCTCGGACATGACCTCAGACGTGACCTCAGACGTCACCTCAGGCATGGCCTGAGACAGCGCCTCGGGGTCGGCTACCCAGCGTCAACCCACCTTTGAGTCCGTCGATGGCGCCGGACATCATCTGGTAGAAGATGTGGTAGGAGCGCTCGAGCGGCTGCTGCGAGATGACACGCGCCTTCTCCAGCAGGTAGGTCTCGATATCGGCGCCCGCCAGCTTGCCGGCCAGGCCGAAGTGGATGCGGATGAACTTTCCCTGCGGTAGGAGCGGGGACAGGGTGAGAAAGGCAGAGAGGCCGTCAGAGAGGGTCGGTTAGAGTTCGCCGATAGCGCAGTCGTGGTGGCTTCCTCACGTCGCCCAGACTATAGATGAGCCAGATCGGATATTCGCCGAGGCACACCAGCGCGGATATCCACGTAGGTGTGTTGCGGTGCAGTATACACCGTCAGGGGCTATCGCCGCGTGGTTTGTGGTACGATACACTCACGAGCCAAGGCGCTATGGCGGTAAGGGCCGCTGGCTCACGCGTCGGAATGGAATGATAATTGATGGAGCATTATTCAATAGTGTTACTAAATAGCTATCGTAAAGTCAATTTTCCCTGCAGCCATAGCCAACAACTCCACAAGGTAGACATCGTGAAGCATTTGGCGAAAAGGCTCGACCAATACATGGTTACTAGATAGCAAAGGTGGATACATCAACAGCATCCGATGAGCCCATCAGCGCAAGGCCGGCGAATCGAGTGTTCCTCGCCTCCCACGAGTCACGTGAAAACCACACCCGATTTCCAAAATTCGTCCCGCGTTCACGTATTCACCCAGAAAGCTACTCACGAAGCGGGAGCTGTTGTCGTTACGGGTCGTCTTAGCGTTGCCGAACGCCTCCAGGACGGGGTTGGTCTGCACCACCTGGTCCTCGAGGTTGCCCTTGCCGTCATCCTTCTTCTTGCCCGACGCGCCGACGTTGGCGAAGTACGCGATTACCTTCTTGGTGTTCTCTGTCTTGCCGGCGCCCGACTCGCCGCTGAGGGCAGGGGTCAGGTAAAGGTCAGTCAGAGATCAGATGAGGTTAGACAGAGATCGGACAGGGGTCGGAAACAGGTATAAAGAAGTGATTGGAGCTCGGCCAAAAAGAGGTCAAAGAGGTCAAAAAGAAGCCAAGAAGAGGTCACGTAGGGACCGGAAATAGATCGACAGAGGTCAGAGGTCAGACAGAGGTCTGAGGCTGCAACATAAATCGGGCACAGACCAGGAAGAGGATAGGCGGAGATCAGTTTTTGTCATAGGTCGTTCTGAGGTCAGCAGAGAACGAAACAGAGATGGAAAAGGGGTCATCTGGAGTTTTGCGTCGAGGCAAGGAAAATTTAGAGAGGAAACGGCCTCTCAAAATGGTCGTTGCTGGTAACATATACGAGATATGCACCATCATGGAAAGGACAGGAGAATTCGTTGAGGCAAGCGAATCCGCAAGGAGGTAATACGGAGCAACCGTCTTTCTAAGACAAACTATTTTTCCACAAAATGGACGCAAAATATTACGCCAGAAGATAGTGTTAAACTAGTGTCGTAGTAAAAGCTTGAAGTTTGAAAAAACTTACGTGATCAACATGGACTGGTTTTCAGAGTCTGAAAAGAAGGCGCAAATAGGTTACAAAGGCATGTGTTTGCTGTAAAAACAACATTGTATCATCGGCGTCCATGTGCTTTCATCAATGGTTTCAGCCAAAAGGACGATAAACAACATCCCGCAGCGCAATCAGCTTATGGCAATGCTGAGCGGCCATTTGCTCGTGCTGTGGTTGCTGCCGGTGCCGCCGTTGGCGCCACCCGCACGGCCACCGCCCATTGGCCGAGTTTTCGCGCGGTGACACTGCCCTCGCGCCAAAAATAGCGCGCGTAAGACGAGCCGCCGGCGCGCCAAATTTGGTGGGCAAGCCGGTGTCATTGGACAGAGGGGCCGGACCAGACCGGACCGGACTCGTTAAATGAGACCGTGTCAAATGATCGGACCGAACCTAGTCCAACGGACCAAGTCAATTCGACGGACCAAGCCACGCTTAACAGACCGCGTTAAACTCAACCAACCTGACCTTATCAAACATACCGAGACTGCCTAAACACATTGAACCCTAACCAGTTAACCTTACGGATCACCACGAGGTGTATTGCCGCCCAGTACTTTGCGTCAAATTAAGCCAGCTCAATACAATGAAACCGATCCGACATATCTTTATTGTAAACGATCCGAAGCCTTGCGAATCCCGGTGTAAAACAGGGCAGTGGGTGGACGGAATCAAGCATAATGCATTTATCTCATACGAAATGGATGAAGCCTCAGTCTATTGCGCGTAAAATGTGACCATGAAATAGCCCGGAGTGCATGATAGACCGACTCCAGATAACCAAAACCAACCACCTCTGTAAAGCCTGTGAAGTGTTAAAGTATGTAACTAAAGGCGTTCTTCTTCGGGTGTCTACATGCACTTGGCTATGAATGGAATTGAAGGTGGAGCCGAAATCAGCCAAGTTTAATTTGAATCAATGTAAAAGTTTCTGCAAAAATATATGATGAACACTGTTAACTATGTGGAAATAAATATTCATGTAATTCGTGTCAGCGTTCAGGCACATAGGACCTATGTGCAGTGAGCAGTAAGAGCAGTAAGCAGGTGAGAGTGATATCGCGTGGGTGCAGGACCAACTGACCGGTGCAATAAGAGCACATAGCCGCAGGACTCACTGACTGGTCCAACGGGCACGGCGCCGGTCCCACTCACTGGTCAACATGTCGGTGTAGGCGCCGTCAGAGATGGCGAAGATGTGGGGCGGCACCTCATTGCGCCTGCGCCCCTTGTAGATGGAGATGGCGCGGTTGGTGTAGATCGGGAACCGCTTGTACGGGTTGATGGCCACGCAGAAGAGGCCGGAGTAGGTCTGCCGGTGGGGGGGGGGGGGGGTCAGTCGGAGGTCACGGGCTGAGAGATCACGTGGCACAAGTGGCACCGATGGAAGTGTTGTTTGTTGTTTGATGTGAGCGCAGCTTTGTTTGATGCTATCTTAGTTTCCTGTAGATATCATTTAACATCAAAGTTTTATGTCTGATGATCCTAAGCGAGTAAAATGTAGTAGCTCATAAGTGAGGTGAAACTAGTTGTCATAGATTCTAAGACACATGCATTTTGCAAACAGTTTTAGGAAAACATCACGCAATTTGGGCAAAAACATCCAAGAAGATTTGGTCAACGAATCCGTACATTTGCTGACCGAGCTGGTGTCATTGCTGAGAGAGTTGCAGGAGAATCAAGTCTGTTACAATTGGCCAGATTTGAAAAAAGAAACTTCTTGCACGGATAGCCGTAACGAGTAGACCAATGAAAGGTGAGCATTCAGCCCCAGCCCATCTCAGTCCTGCTATTTTCCAGCTAATCCTGACTTCGAGTCAGACAACTCCAGCAGCGACCGTACTCACGTAGATCAGCTTGATGTAGTAGCGCTGCTTCAGGTTGTTCAGCACAGACGCGTCGTTGAGGTATGTCAAGTTGGACATGTCCTCGCATTTTTCGTACTTGGGCGGGTTGACCTGCTGGACCTGCTCCTTCTTGAAGTTCTTTTCCTGCAATTGGAACGCGGAATCAGAGTCATGGTCACAGTCAATGCACCGTTAAGCGGAAATACAGACCAGTCACTGGTCCACTTTTGCTCGTTGCAGTGGCGTTACAACCGCCGTCTTAAGCTCGCGGCTTGAGACAGCGGCGGCGGCTCGTGCTGTTCTGCTGCATTGGATTCCACGCGACAGTAGGTATCTCAGAGAGAATTATTAGCAAAGTGGCGAACGAAACAAGAATGTCTGTTGGTAACGCGATCAATATGTTCGTTCTTGCGGACTCAAAGCAGTTAAAATAATCGCCTGTTTTCACAGGTGGTTGCGAGCTGCCATGGTTGCGTGGTTGCGAGCTGCCATGGTTGCGCGGTTGCGAGCTGTCATGTCGCGTCTGAGCGTGCGGTACAGGCGCGCGGCTGCTCTTTTTCAGGTCGAGTCAGCTGCTTCGAGCAAATAACCTTTCCTAAGTTCTAGATTATTCTATGTCCTGAGCCGCCAGCCATGAGTGCTCTGCCCCACGCTAGGCACATGCTTGACGTGCGACAGCAAAGAGCCTGTTTGTTTCTGGAGACAACGCGAACAACTTAAAGCAACGGCAACTTTTGGAAAAAGTAAGCATCAGGAGAACACAACAAGGTTGTGGATGTCCAAATCTAGCTCCAAGCCCACGTGATTCATGACAGTTCACGATAGCTCGAATTACTGTATTCAGTTTTGAAAATGCATGCAGTGTGGTGCAATGCGCGTAACTGTAATTGGGCTATTGCAATGTGCGCAATTTGGCATATCTCATGGTACACCGATAGACACAGCACTCTCATACCTCTTTTTTACTTTTGAGGAGAACGCAACGCACGTCGTTACTCCCGTTTTATGGAGCGCCGGCCGGGACCGTAACCACTGTTCGAGACCGAACCCCGAGATCGCAACCACTGTTCGAGACCGGGCCCTGAGACCGTAACCACTGTTCGAGACCGGACCCCGAGATCGTAGCCACTGTTCGAGACCGGGCCCCGAGACCGTAACCACTGTTCGAGACCGGGCCCCGAGACCGCAACTACTGTTCGAGACCGGACCCCGAGACCGTAACCACTGTTCGAAACCGAACCCCGAGACCGTAACCACCGTTCGAGATCGGGCCCTGAGAACGCAACCACCGTTCGAGACCGGGCCCCGAGACCGTAACCACTGTCTGAGACCGAACCCCGAGATCGTAAACTCTGTTCGAGACCGGGCCCCGGGACCGTAACCACCGCTCGAGACCGAGACCGAGACCGGACGTGGGAGCCTAGCCGCCGACCACTGGGCCATTACGCCACCCGCCGTGGTCGTACCCCGCCTCCGGGCAGTGACACGGTGACCAGGTCACCCATTCCCCCCCCCCCGCCGCGGTCATACCTCGCCTCCGGGCAGTGACACGGTGACCAGGTCACCCTTGGTGCCGGTGATCTTGCCCTGCACAAAGCCGTCCGCGTCGTCCGGCACCCATGCGGCCGTCTTGGCATCGAACGGCTTGGTCTGGTCGATACGCTTCTGCTCCAGCGAGACGTACCTGTCCGCAGGGCGCAGTCAGGTCAGGTAGGGTCAGTCTAGGTCAGGTCAGGTCAGGTCAGGTCTGATCATTCCAGAGCAGGACAGGTGAGGTTATTGTCAGCCAGGTCAGGGCAGGTCAGCTCTGATCACTCCAGAGCAGGCCACGTGAGGTTTTTGTCAGCCAGGTCAGGGTAGGTCAGGGAAGGTCGAATAGGGTTGATTCGGAGACGGCAAGGTCAGGTCAAGTCCTGTCACGTCGGATCGCGTCGGGTCAAGGCGGGTCAGGTTAGATCAAGTAGCGCCAAGTCAGAGCAGGCCAGATCAGATTGTTAGATTTCATCAACATTTTCACGGACGATTACGTCGGAGCACGCTTAAAAACAGTAATCATGGCACGATAAAGTTGTTAGCGATGGCGTCTTCGTGCCTAAATTATCAAAGCACATATCACGTACATAATGCGGGGTATTCTATTAAAAATGACATGTATATAATTGCAATACATTAAACAGATTCAGGTATGGCTGAATGTCTAAAATTTCATTTTCATAATCTACTCCTGATCAAAATTAGTATCCAGTTTGCCATGGTACTTGACGATTAAAGCGGAAATATCCGGCGCACGGGTTCTCGCGGGTTTACTTGAGATATGCAGCTTGACACCACATTGGAATCAGCTGAGAACAAAATATTGCTTGCACTTTTTGGAGCCAGCGCAGGGTAGGAAACCCCGCACAAACAACGAGAGAATCTCACGGATCGGGTAAGGAAAGAACCTCAAAGATCGGGGAATTGGACTTTCCAGACCAATCAGGTAGTATGCCTATATCTTTGAACTTCCGAAATTAACGCAGTGATTGATTTGAAAGGCTGTCTTAGCCGGCTCATAGGAGTAAAACATTTGAAAAAGTAGTGACCAGATAGTTTTTGGAACGCACTGATAAAGGCTGAACATCGTGTTTGCCCACCAAAAAGGAGCGAGCGCCATCGCTGCAGGGAACCCCACCCGCGACAGGTCCGCAAACGATGCTCCGGCAGCCGTGTGTCCATGAGTAGCACTCCCGTACCTCATCAACGTTAGAAATATGGTTGACGAAGAAATGATCACGTTAATTTCAATCAATGTGACGACACGACTGCGGTGACGCTTAGGCTATTAAGGCTAGTTGTCGCTAATTAGCGATTAAGGCTAACCTTAGCGACCACGGTTAACTTCCGTAAGCCATTGCATTTGATCAATGATCATTTTTCGGAGTCTAGTGAGCTACAACCAATTCAACGTCGTGACTTAATTTTCTGCAGCTGCTGGTGTCTGCTCTTGGCCAGTTGCGGTATGGAGGTCAAGAGGTCAGGTCAGGTGCAGCGGTCGTGGATGGCCGAGCAAGGCCAGGTCACATCAGGTCAGACGTGGGATTGCAGGCTGCGTGCCTGGTTTGCGTCATCTCACGTTAATACTAAAAGACAGGGCCAGAAGGCAGCCAGCGGGTCACGTCACCAACACACAGGTCACCAGGTCAAGTTAGAACAGACATCGTAACGCAAGTCAGACCAGGTCAAGTCAGGTCGAGTTAAACCAGGCAAGACCAGGTCAAACCTGGTTCAAAAGCAGGCTAGACCAGGTCAAACCAGGTGAAACTAGGTCAACTTAGGTCGACCCGAGTCAAAACATCTCAAACTGGGTCGAACCAGGTCAAAGCATGTCAAACTAGGTTGAACCAAGTCAAACCAAGTCAAAATAGGTCAGAGCAGGTCAGAACAGGTCAGAGCGGTCAGAGTAGGTCAGAGCGGTACTCACAGATATTGAGACGGATCCGGATCGTCCGCTGGGTTGGTCTTCTTCGGCGGGGCGGGCATGGCGGCGGCGGTGGCGGTGCGAGCGAAGCGAAGACGCGCAGAGCGGTGGTCGACTCAGGCCGAAGCTCCCGAAGCTAGGGAACCTCCCTGGCGGCGCGGAGGCACTGATGACGCGGCCGTCGGCGACGGTGGCGACACACGATCCCGGAGCGGCTAAATTTACGCACGCGGCGCCGGCCGGCGGCCGCCACATTGTTGAGCGTCCGCCAGCTGTCCCGGCGGCGGCGGCGGCAGGTGGGACGTCGGCGACATCCGGTGATGGAGTCAGAGTCAAGACTTAGGGGTGTGGACGGGACGTAACCTGCACTGAGTCGGATGCAGCGGGGTCGCGGGTCGGGTATCGAAAAGGCGGCCGCGTTCGTGTTGGTGTACGAGTGGAGAGTGATCATCGGCGACATCGTGTGATGCGCGTCGTTGAAGCGGGAAAGACATGGGCGTGCGAAGGAAATGACCATGGGGATATGATCCACATAGCATCGGGCCCATAGCTGAGCCGTATGGCCCTGTTCCATCTATGGTTTAACCTCCCCCTCACCCCTCAAAAAAGCATTGGTGCCATGTCAGCTACGTTCTCCCTTGATCACAGACGCATGGATCTGATAAAATAATCCCCGCAACATAATAAACAACGTTGTACACATGTAAACACATCAACATTAAACATCAACACATGAATCGCGCGTCCGTCCACTCGGCTCAGCCCGGAGGGAAAGATCGAGCACTCAGCGACTTGTCTAACTTCTGTAAGTACTGATGCTACTCAACGGTGCTTTCGATGATCTAAGGAAGTTGGATGGTGCTAGAGATTCGGTGGGTGATAGAAGGCCAACCACCTCGTGGGCCTTCTGTCAGCGACTTTCACAGGCACACACAAGTGCAAGACTTTTGTTTTAGTGGAGACTGCTAATTTGCTTTGGTTAGGCTTGCTTTGTTTTGGTATGTTTTCAACTAATCAGGAATATTTTTTAATTGACTACATGCTTCAAGGTGTGTGTATGTTTTCAGCCAATCAGGGATATTTTCTTTGACTAACGAGATGCTCCAAACTGAAGATACATATCAGAGATCTAAAGAACAACAATCAAAATAATTTCGACAGCTTAAAAGAAGGCATCGTGCAAAAACCCGCAGCGCATGCTCATCACCAGTGCTTTTGAGATCTTCTTGGCTTCTGGTGATGCTTACGGCAATTTGAATTTGGACCACACCGCTCATATGATTTGCGGTCGAATTCCAGAGCTGAAGCAAAGGATAAGCCATTGTTTCATGTTCGAGCTTTGTGAGCTGAACCTTCCGGTTCCGGAAAGTAATGCAGCCAATGAGAGATCGAAGAGCCAAAATAAACACACGCCCCGAAGACAAAGTGTCGTAGGATTCATTTGCCTGGATTGACTTTGCGAACCTGTCCACTAAAGACGCTTCAGCGCGGGACTGTAATTTAGTGCATTTGATTGAGGTATAATCACAAAACAAACAGGGAAACTTAAGTGAATGTGACAAACTACAGCTCCGATCGGCCAACGATCCGTGCTAAAGCTACAGGAACAAGGCAGCACCTCGATCAAAACACCATCCCACTCATTCAGGGTTCTAAAGGTCTGCGGTCGCCGGTGTACCGCAAGGTCGCCTCCTCGTGGCGCTACGATACACTACGCCGGCACTGGCACGCCGACAGGGGGCGGGCGCGCTCCTCGGCACCGCACCACACGTCCGCCCACTTACGTTCGGGGATCGGCTCTGTGGCCGCAGTCGGCCCCCGACTCACCTTTATAGACTCAAGTCACCCGACACCCACCCCCAAAGGCCGGGCGACGGCCGGCCGATGAGACGACCACGCCGATTGGTCGTCGCGTCCGCCGGCGCCCGTCCGCCAACGCTGGGGACGAGCGCCCGGCGCCGGCGAGACAACGGCCGCCGTCCGTGAGTCAGCGTCGGGTCCAAGCGCCCGGCGACCAGGAATGGGCGGCATCTGGGGCAGCGGCCGCGCGGCCGTCTCGGCGCCGCCGGTCGCGACCTTGACACGGGGTCAGGTCAGGTCGGCCCCGCCATCCCCTGGGGCACGGCCGCCGGTGTCGGCATCTCCGCTGCCGGTGCCGACGCTTGGTAACGATACCGTATTACCGTGAGCCGGGTGTATTCCACGAGCACCTGAGCGCATCGTTGCCAGCGCGCTGTTACGTAAGGTCAGGCAATAAACTGGCCGCAGTAAAACGGGAGTGCATCAGCTGCGCGCTGTTTTGTGTTTTTTTTTTTCATGGCCGAAAGCTGCAGTTGAAGCGTTTCGATGACGCATGGCCGTTGCTGACGAATGACCGGGATACAATCTGCATAGTCCTCGTGGCGTCCGTTCGGCACATGTTTTTATGGTTACCACAAATCGTGACCAACGATCATACTGCCGATGATTACCAACGGTCGTGCTTGCTGTGAAAATATTGCGAAGGGCGTGGTTAGCATTGATATGCTTGGGATAAGCGTCCTCAGGGTATCCAGCGTAGTTGACGCTGAGATATCCGTGTCTATACAGCAACACTGTATATGTGAACAGCATCTATACGAATCTGCGTCACACCAAGACCGGCTTATCAGAGACATGACATGCACCATAGTGTGACAGCGTACGTCATCATTAGATCCTGTCAGGGATAGCTTCCGTGTTTCTGTCGGATGAATAGAGTAGGAATAGAATATAGAAGATAATAAAATCGTACATAGGGGACTTAAGGCCTAAACGGACACGCCGTTTTGTTAACTTAGGCGGCGGTACATACCATTCACTGCTGGGAACTGATTTTGACCAAGGACGTTGTTCCTTATCTCACCACCAGCTGATAGCGATCACTCGTTTACGTGATTCGTGCTGAGCATACTCTGTCATGTCCACAGCTCAACATAAACAAACAAGCCCTGGGTCGGGCACTGGCTGAATGGATGAAATCGGAAGCTAATCGATAAGTGATTCATCAGTGTGGAGGCCGCCGGCATGAAATCAGCACTGACGTTGGGAAAATACCCGGCCAACTGAAGCAACATTCGCGGCGCCTGATCATTCAGGAAACTGGCAAAACATGGCACCTCTGATATTGCTGGAGGACCTAGGTCAATAGCAATCGTGTTATTGTGATCGGAGAAGGCATGTTTTAGCTGGGGCTCGAAGTTAAGAATTCTGGGCGTAATATTTAATCTAGCGCCAACTAGACAACTAACTGTTCCCTGCGACATAGGTATGGAGCTGGTGTGATAAATCCATAACCTGCCGCACAGAGCGCAGCAACCCAAATGACTTCTGCAACCATGTTTTTGCTCACAACCCCTCTATTCAGGCATCAGTTCCGTGACAGTCAATCGTGACCTGTTCAGAAATGACGATTGGAACCTTGAGGATGCCTCTCTAACCCTGCATGCATCAACAGCTCCCCGAATTCGGCCAGGATTCACCATTTCATTGGCCTCTCCAGCAGCAGTGCGGCCAGGCATTGCTTAACTGGTTGGGGGGGGGGGGGGGGGTAGTGAGAACGAATCACGCCGGCTTTTAGCTTTCTGTAGGATCTGCGGTGAAAAAGAAATGCGGGCCTAATCCCCGCCCTAATATCCCTATGCGGGCCTCATCCCCGCCCTATTGGCTGCACCCCTAATATCGGGCTCCGCATTTGAGACGCTATCCTATGTGTAAGCTTCGTAAGTGGCTTTTCCCACCATACGCACATGCAAGAGTCATGTCTTCACATAAGGGCGTGCGTGAATTGCCACAAAAAGGGATAACAAGCAGCGCAAAAGGCCACTGGGGTGGGCAACTAATCAGGATCGTCTTCCGTCACACTAATTGATTTCCGGGTCGCTCTTCTGTGTGCAGCCAATTTGGCCAGACTGGAACATTTATACCGGGGATATTGTGGACATGATGGTGCTCGGACTTCCAAGCCTGCATTGCCTCGTTGAAGTGCATTTCGACGTAGACTTCTTTTATAAGGTTCCAGCTGAGGTGGAAACAAAATCAACGCACAGCGGATTGTTCCACTATAATTGAGACCACACCTTCACAGGCTTGCATTGCTCAGTCAAGAGCTCAATTTGATACAAACTACCACTCTTTGAGTGCAGTTACATTTTAAAGTGTGCTTAGCTGCCAATGCGCGTGTTTTAGACATTAGAACTAGAGGAAAACTGTTGTGTGATAAGGCTATTGCCGTAACCACGCTGTAAAATTACGATTATGTACCGAGCGATCATTTTGGTATATAAGGATACTTTCTAGCTGGTCATTGCTATTGTAAGCATGAGCTCGTAAGCATTCGTCACTGGTATTGCACGAGCATCTAAAAAGCTATATTTCGGGCAGAGGGCGAAGAAAACAACTGTCATTTTGTTAAGAGCTTTCGTTTTCGCTGTTTTTTTTTAGTTCCATAGCTATCCTGTACGCGGCACTTTGCATTCCATAAAAACACAAGACGTGAATATTGCATACTAGCATGTAAATACTTCACTAGTGCCTGTGATTTAAGGGTAATGTGCACTCAAAATTTGAAATTGGCTGCAACAAGTTCAGCTGTTTCTAGGGTGTCCGAGGATCTGCTTGGGAATAAGGTTCAATAATGGCCATATTATTCGCATGTAATAATACGCCATTGCACGAGCGTCTACAAATGAGGCATGCCCCTACTGGGCCAAAAGCGAGATATATAACTGTAATTCGAATACCAAAAGTGCAAAGGGGCTTTCACGACGCGACGCTTTGTAATCAATGCAAATGTCGGTGATGCGAATATTCGCCAATGTTTGCGATTTATAGTGCAACTACCCTCTTAAGTGGGAGGGGTGTAACAGCTTTAGTTATCGACCAGGAAATGTGCCCATGCTTTGGCACGCGATTAAGCTGGAATACTTATCGTTTTCTTGATATAGGCAAGACGAGTGTTAAGCTGCTGGTCCTTCGGCATTATGAATTCAGAGTTCTTATACTGATGGTTATCGGCCCTCAGTACGCTGGGAGGTACTGGTTAAACGATGTTATCAAGCCAACATTGGTCATAATGTCTATGTCCCATCCTCAGTATGCTCAGATGCTCAGTACGCTGGGAGGTACTG